GTTTTGGCTCATGTAAACTTTCTGTTCCCACCTGAATTCACATGTGTTTAAGAGATGGTTACATTTTCTTTTACCATGTTACCAAGATAATTATACTCGCCATAATATTAATAATTAATGTAATAAGTATACATTAATCAACATGCTAGCCATAGATAACGAGTTTATAAATATAATATCAATAAATAAAACATAACGAGTGAAGTGTAACACTATAAGATAGTGTGGCAAATTTCACTTAAAAATTACTCATCAACACCAGCATATTCATCCAATGATCCGATGATAAGTCTTGTCACTCGACCTTCCATTCACCCAATTTCCTCTCTATATAAATCACCAGACTATGTTGCCTTACTACTCACCCAAGTCCCCAAACTAATCAAGTGATATTACTGATCCATTTCGTACTCATTTTTTTCTCCGAGCATCAAAGTCATTATTTATGGCTAGCTATGCATTGATTAAGCTTGCAGTGTTTGTGGCCTTGTGCATGGTGGTGAGTGTACCCATAGCCTATGCCATAACATGCGACCAAGTGTCCCGCAACCTCGTTCCATGCCTAGACTACTTGAGGAATTGCGGAGCTGTCCCTGAACCTTGTTGCAGAGGAATTAGCAACCTCAATGACTTGGGAAGAACCACCGCTGAGCGCCGGACCATTTGCAATTGTCTGAAACATAATGCTTCTAGCTTCACCGGAGTTAATCCAACCTTGGCAGAAGAGCTTCCCGCCAAGTGTGGAGTCAATGTTCCTTACAAGATTAGCCCCAACCCCAACTGCACTAAGTACGTATCAAAAACCCCACAGTGCTCAACTAGGGTTGCATCAAAATTTAATCTAATTTGACTGCCAACCATTGCGTTTTGATGTAACGGTTTCATGTCATCGAAACTCCAAATTAACTTGGTTTTTAACTAATACATGTTTCTCATGAAGAAAAAAAATGATAGTATTTTATTGATTTTGCTATGTTTTGTTGTTGTGTTGCAGCGTGCAGTGAGCTCGATGGGAGATTAATTTTTCGGCCCCAAATAATATGAGAATGAAAACAAAGTGCGATTCCTCATTGTCCCTAGTACTTCGATTTTCATCCACATGGTGGTGAATATTGTAATACTTATATGGAATTTATAATAAAAGAAATGTTCTTCTCTTTTCTTTTTTACTTGACTCTCCCTTCCTTTTGTAATAGTTAAATAAAAAACGAAACAAAAAATAGCAAAAGTAGCTCATCTGAGCAACAAATTTTGGACTTCTATCAAATTGAATTCAATAGTTAATGGTGGATTGCTATCGCCTATCTCAATAGGAAAGTTCTTCCTATCGATCATTATAATTAGGCGTTCAGGCGACAAAATAACATCAACAATTAACAAATGAGTTCAGACAAAACGAAAAAAATAATTTGTCAATTGGTGAAGATAGATTAAACTCCTTTATCTCATTTTCTTTCATGATCATTACGCACAGACCAATTGGACCAACTCACACTGTTGATGACAGCCCAAACCGAACCAATGCCTTGCCATATTGGGCTATGTCAATAACGATTCGGCTAAGCCTCGGCCCTTCAAGAAAATTCGAGATCACTTACCAATCCAAATTGTAGACCTCTTTATTATGAAAGTGATCAAACGATTGGACACTTACAAATAAAAAGTGGAGCTCACTTGTTAAGATTTAACATGTACGTTATTCATCAAATATGGCAAACTTTGGTGCACCAACGAAGGTAGCAGTTCTTGTGTTGCTCATGTGCATGGTGGTGGGTGCACCCTCAGCCCAGGCCATAACGTGTAGCGATGTGACTGCAGCCATGTTGCCATGCATAAGCCACCTGACTGCTAGAGGACCAGGCTAGGGACAGACCGTTAGTTTGGCAAACCTGGACTATAGCCTAGGTGGCTTCTTTTTTCCAGCCAAAAAAATAAAGTCATAGCTCACCCAGAGGTGGACCTTTAGTTTGGCAAACCTAGGCTATAGACAAGGTGGACCTTTAGTTTGGCAAACTTAGGCTATAGACAAGGTGGCTTCTTTTTTCCAACCGACTCCCTGCCAACTCCTACACATATTTTTGGGGTCATGTGTAATTTTTTTTGTTCACAACTGCACGTTTGTTGTAAAAGGTTAACAACTGTGGGGAAATTTATTTTTACCTTATCTAATTTATGCTGCACGACTGTAAATTTAAAGACAAGAATTAGTATGATGAATAACTCAATTTTATAATATGAAATTAAAATATTTTACTTACATCGTATTAGCATTATTTTTAGAGGTTTTTTGTGTATATAAATTATCATGTTAGAATGAATCTATTTATAATATACTATTATTTTTAATGTAACAATTAATAATAATAATAGATGTATAATAAATAGGCATCAATAATTCATGTATTACATTAAAGTGGTCACTCTACCTTCCATTCACCTCATTTCTTCTCTATATAAACACAAGAGCATGGTGCCATACCACTCACTACTCTCAAGTTCCTCAAATCAAGTGCTTACAAATCCATTTCAAACTCCTTTTTTCTTCGATCATCGTAGTCGAGAGAGATGGCTTACTCTGCCATGACTAAGCTTGCTTTGGTGGTGGCCTTGTGCATGGTTGTGAGCGTGCCCATTGCTCAAGTTCAAGCCATAACATGTGGCCAAGTGGTCAACAACCTTACACCATGCATAAACTACGTGAGCGGCGGTGGAGCTGTGCCTCCAGCTTGCTGCAACGGCATTAGGACCCTCAACGGCTTGGCAAAGACCACCGCTGACCGGCAGGCCGCTTGCAACTGCCTGAAACAGCTTTCCGGCAGCATCCCTGGAGTCAACCCTAACAATGCCGCAGCGCTTCCCGGCAAGTGTGGAGTTAATGTTCCTTACAAGATTAGCATCTCCACCAACTGCGCCGCGTACGTATTAAAAATAAAAAGAACTCCAAGTTTTAATTTTTATAGGTTTGATCAAAATTCAACGGTTCATATCATCTCAAAACCTAACTTTTTAAATGTGGATCGTTGAAATTTTGGTCTAGCTTGTTGACAATTGACTGACTTTTGGGTGTGTTCTGTTGTGGTGTTGCAGCGTGAAGTGAGCTTGATATCAATGCAATGGGACAAGTATTTTCGGCCGCAGATAATATTAGAGAGTGAGAATAAAAATGTGGCTATGTGATCCACTTAGGGATTCCTCATGGCGGAATCGATAAGTTAATCTATGTAATCTTTATCTTTGTATAACTAATAATATTTATGTTTATAGTAAATTTGGCTTACACCCTTCAAATTCAATTTGCCATACCTAAAACCCTTCACTTTTTGTTCATATAAATAATACCCAATTTGTATAAGTAAAAACCCATGACTAGGATCCAACTCAATAAGTTACCTAATTAAGCATAAAATCTGATTTATTGTACTTTTCAAATTCCAAAAATACCCCCAACTAAGCCATTATTGCATTTTGTATATTAATGTAGGAATCGATATGGAAACAGTTTTTAATTGGATTGTATATAATGACAGATGTTGAATTTGGAAAGATCTCCAAATGGTTGTAATGGATGTAGGAATTAATTTTGGAACATTTTAAAAAAAAATTTAACAATAAATTCAAATTTGGGTAATCGGTTTGTTTAATAAAATGTTTATGTTATTTTCTTTTTATGAATTATACATGACTAATAATCCACTTTATAATTGTTTATGAATAAAACTGTACATACTAATTATGTTGAAAAAATAATGTACCTATTTGTTTTATGAAAAATATAATTTACCTAGTATGAAAAGTGTACATAATTATCTATTCCAATATACCTACATTATATGACATCCAATATACCTACATTAATTTTAATGTACTTACAATTAGGATTTAGGTATTAGATGTCATCCGATGTACCTACCATTTGAATAATATACCTACTACGAATAAAGTACCTATTATTTATCTAAATAATGTACCTATTTTTTTCTATATATAATATAGCCTTTTTTTTCTGAATAAAGTGCCTATTATTTGTTTTATTAAAAGTAATTTTTTTTAAATGAACCTATTTTCTCTCTCCAAATAACTTACCTATTTTTTCCTCTAATAATGTACCTATCTTTCCTCTCCAAATAATGTACCTATACACATTTACAGGTATATTGTAAAATAATTTACCTATGGGTAAATAATGTACCTATATTTTATATAAATTATTGTGTACCTATTTTTAATTATGAAAAATATACGCAATTACAAAGTAACTGACTTTTTTTTTTGGGGGTAAATAATATACCTATATTTTATATGTATATATTTATATTATATTTTTCATATGTACATTATTGGATATGTAATTTATATATATATTTTTGCAATTTTAGGGGGCGAGATGTGAGAGGGAATGACAACTAAAAGAAATGGGGTGATTGATATGCTATTAATAGGGAGTATATTAATTACAATTATGGTAGTTAATGAAATGCTTGAAATAAATTATAAATAAAATATGAAGTTTAGTGGCAACGATGTAAAAACATAGAAATACTACGACATCTTATATCCTACTGGTCATTTCAATTTGAAATTGGGTTTTACACATAGATTTATAGAGTGATGGGTATATGTCTAGAAAATAGAAAATGTAGGGATCTATATTGGACAAACCCTAATAATTAATGTAATACGTATACATTAATCCACATGCTAGCCATAGATAACGAGTTTATAAATATAATATCAATAGATAAAACATAACGAGTGAAGTGTAACACTATATGATAGTGTGACAAATTTCACTTAGAAATTACTCATCAACACCAACATATTCATCCAATAATCCAATGATAAGTGTTGTCACTCGACCTTCCATTCACCCAATTTCCTCTCTATATAAATCACGAGACTATGTTACCTTGCTACTCACCCAAAGTCCCCAAACTAATCAAGTGCTATTACTGATCCATTTCATACACTTTTTTTTTCTCTGAGCATCAAAGTCATTATTTATGGCTAGCTATGCATTGATTAGGCTTGCTATGTTTGTGGCCTTGTGCATGGTGGTGAGTGTACCCATAGCCTATCCCATAACATGTGACCAAGTGTCCCGCAACCTCGTTCCATGCCTAGACTACTTGAGGAATTGCGGAGCTGTCCCTAAACCTTGTTGCAGAGGAATTAGCAACCTCAATGACTTGGGAAGAACCACCGCTGAGCGCCGGACCATTTGCAATTGTCTGAAACAGAATGCTTCTAGCTTGACCGGAGTTAATCCAACCTTGGCAGAAGAGCTTCCCGCCAAGTGTGGAGTCAATGTTCAGGGGTGGCCCTGAGGGTGTGTAAGTGGTGCCACCGCACAGGGCCCCTGATTTTTGAGGGGCCCCAATTTTTTTTATGTGTATAATATATGTTTAACAAATGTTATATATATACTGAGTGAGCAAATTGTTTACACAAAGACGTTCCTAGTTGTGTTGGTTTGCAGGGCCTCAACTTTTATTCAGGGCGCGACTTCAAAACCCGCTTGTGTTAAAGGTTTGTCCGATGTCAACACCAACATTCATTATCCCAGCTACTTTCACAACCACAAACTAAAATAATAAATACCCCAAACCCTATGCTCAGATATTCAATTTTGCAAAAAATAATGCATCCAACTAACTCAACCATAATTGCATTGAATTAATGATGTTCCTAGAATATTTATGCATCCAACTAACTCAACCAAAATAATTGCATCAAATTAATGATGATATTGATACAAAATAAATTAGGTGTAAAAAAAATTTAATATATGAATATGATCTATGATGACAAAGACTCATCGTCACAATCATGGTGATTATTCAAAAGGTGTAACATCCCTGACCCAATTTAATCAATTTAATCCAATTTAATTCTTTTGTGAAATTTCAATTTTGTCCTTGGGAGTAGGGGTACTTTGGTCACTTTAAGAAAAAAAACATTTATTGTATGACATTACGTAATAATGTAAGTTTGTGTTAGCTTATGTGAGGCCCCAATTTAAGGATCGCACAGGGCCTTCAAAATCTCAAGACCGGCCCTGTCAATGTTCCTTACAAGATTAGAGCCAACCCCAACTGCACTAAGTACGTATCAAAAACCCCACAGTGCTCAACTAGGGTTGCATCAAAATTTAATCTAATTTGACTGCCAACCATTGCGTTTTGATGTAACGGTTTCATGTCATCGAAACTCCAAATTAACTTGGTTTTTAACTAATACATGTTTCTCATGAAGAAAAAAAAGATAGTATTTTATTGATTTTGCTATGTTTTGTTGTTGTGTTGCAGCGTGCAGTGAGCTTGATGGGAGATTAATTTTTCAGCCCCAAATAATATGAGAATGAAAACAAAGTGCGATTCCTCATCGTCCCTAGTACTTGTAGAAAAATATATTTGGCTTGAATGAATATTTTATTAATAACATAGATACACGAGTTTTCCTTGTACAATAAGGAATCCTACAATCTAGGAATTCCATCTAAGGGAAGGATTGGATATATGAATCAATTACAAATTCTTTCCTATCTAAAATACATTTACTTTCTAACACTCCCCCTCAAGTTGGAGAGTGAATGTCAAGAACGCCCAACTTGCGTAACATAGCTGAAAACTTCTCCTTGCCCAAAGGTTTCGTAAATGTATCAGCTAGTTGTTGCGAAGAATTCACATGCCATGTAGAAACAGTACCATCAAGTATTTTGTCACGAGTAAAATGACAATCCATCTCAATATGTCGTGTTCTCTCATGGAAGACTAGATTTGCTGCTATATGTAATGCCGCCTGATTATCACAATACATACGAGATGCTTCTGAAGATGGCAAGTGAAAATCTTGCAACAGAAAACGTAACCAAGTAACCTCACAACAGGTGCTTGCCATGGCCCTATATTCGGCTTCTGCAGAGGACAATGAAACCGTCATTTGTCTCTTTGTTCACCAGGAAATCAATGAATTACCCAAGAATACACAATATCCAATAGTTGAACGGCGGGTTATGGGACAACCAGCCCAATCCGAATCACAATAAGCAATTAAATCTAACTTGTTATCGGACTGAAAAGGCAAACCTTGACCTGGAGTAGACTTGAGATATCGAACAACCCGAAGAGCAGCATCCATGTGAGGTAATCGTGGCTGGTGCATGAAACGGCTTAGGACATGTACCGAATAAGTGAAGTCTGGTCGGGTAATAGTTAGATAAAGGAGTTGTCCCACCAATCGTCTGTATTTTTCGGGATCTTTGAGTAGTTCACCTTTGTCAGAAAGCTTGGCTTCCTCAATTGGAAAGTCAATTGGTCGAGCACCTAAGAACCCATAATCTTTGAGTATCTCAAGTGCATATTTTCTTTGTGAAACATAAATGCCTTTCTTGGATCGGGATACTTCAATACCCAAAAAATATTTCAAATCGCCTAAGTCTTTGATATGGAAACAGGTGTGTAGAAAACTTTTGAGAGAATTAATGGCATCAATATCATTTCTTGTAATTAGAATATCATCAACATAAATTAATAATGCTGTAAAAGACTTGCCATCTTTGCAGGTGAAGAGAGAATAATCGGCCTTTGACTGGATAAAACCAGCAGCAAGGATGGCTTCAGTAAACTTGGCAAACCACAGTCGAGAAGCTTGTTTCAGTCCATAGAGAGATTTGTGGAGGCGGCACACGAGATTCTCCCCCTGTCGCCAAAGACCAGGATGAGGAGACATATAGATTTCCTCATGTAAATCACCATGGAGAAAGGCATTATGAACATCAAGTTGATGGATAACCCAGTGCTAACTGGCGGCAACAACCAAAAGACAACGAGCTGTGATCATCTTGGCAGTGAGAGAAAAATTTTCATGATAATCCAGGCCCTTTGTTTAAGTAAAACCTTTGGCAACAAGGCGGGCTTTGTAGCACTCGATAGAACCATCAGCACAGTGTTTGATCTTGTACACCCACTTGCAGTCAATGGGAAATTTGCCATGAGGCAAAGGAGTAAGAGTCCAAGTGTGATTGTCAGCAAGAGTAGCAAGTTCGAAGTCCATAGCCTCACGCCATCGAGGATCGCTGTTGGCCTCTGCAAAAGAGGAAGGTTCTACACTTCGACTGATGGAGTTAACAAAAGCAAGATGTTTGTGCGAGTATCGATGGTAAGAACTAAAATTACAGAGGGGAAAACGAGTACCTGGTGGAGGATCGGTTGGCGAAGACGAGGAATGATGTGGGGGCAGAATCACCTGCGAGTAAACGAAGTCCTTGAGGCGTGTGGAGGTTTGCTTGGGACGGGAGGAGGTACGGGTAGGCTGAGCTGTGTAAGGTACAGGCTGGGTAAAGAGTACATCAGCAGGAAGTGGTGCCTAGATGCTGGCGAAAAGAGTGGGGTCCGTGGGAAAATGGAGATCAAGAGTGGGTTGATGGAGGAGGTCTAAGCTGGTGGTGGATGGAGAAGAATGAGAAAGGTCGTAGTTCAAAGGGAATGTGTCCGGGCCAGTGAAAGGCAATAAGGGGAGGGAGGGTTCGGTGGTATGTGGTGGTGTGGGTGTGTCAGGGCTGGAGAAAGGGAATTTATCTTCCAGGAAGAGAACGTCGTGGCTAGTGAAAATTTTATAGGTTTCAAGGTCATAGAGTTTGTAAGCTTTCTGGCCAATGAGATAGCCAATAAAAATGGATTTGTGGGCTCGAGGAGCGAATTTGGAGCTTGGGTGAACAGAGGTGGCATAGGCAAAGCAACCAAAAACTTTCATATGGTGGTAAGAGGGTGCTTTGTGGTGGAGAATGTCAAAAGGGGTTTTGTTGTTAAGGAGAGATGTAGGGAAGTGATTGATAAGGTAAGCGGCAGTAAGAACACATTCCCCCCAAAATTTTATGGGCAAATTAGATTGAAAACGAAGGGCTCGTGCAGTTTCAAGGAGATGACGGTGTTTGCGTTCGACAACTCCATTTTTTTGGGGTGTGTAAATGCAAGAGTGTTGATAAATTATCCCATGGTCAGAAAATAAATTGCGCATGGAGAAAAATTCTCCCCCATTGTCCACGGATTTGTTGAACATTGAGATGAAATTGTGTGTCAACATAGGTAAAAAAGTTTTGAGAAGGTCTTGTGTTTCATGTTTATGTTTCATAAGAAAAACCCAAGTAAAACGAGAAAAATCATCAACTATGGATAAAAAAATAATAAGCCCCAGTAAGAAAGGGATGTTTATTAGGACCCCAAATGTCACAATGTAAAAAAGAGAAAGGTCTAGAAGTTGACATAGAACTAAGTCCGAAAGGTTGGCGAGTTTGTTTCGCCAACGGACAAATATCACAAACATGAAGCGAATTAAAGGAGCAATTTAAAGAGGTACTAGCCAAGAATTGCAAACGCGCTGGGGAAAGGTGTCCTAGCCGGGGATGCCAAAGGTCAGTGGAGGTGGTGATAAGGTGACAGGAAGACGGACGGTCATTGGAGGTGGTGGAGGCGAGCGCCACTAGGTAGTAAAGATCTCCTCGTCGATTACCCACACCAATCGTCGTCTTTGAAACCAAGTCCTGCAAAATAACCCAAGAAGGAAAAAAAGTTATGGAACAGCGTAACCCATCTGTAATTTTACTAGGGGTGGCATTTTAAACCGAAAAACCGAAAAACGGCAAAAACCAACCGACAATTTACCACAATGAAACCGCAATCGCGGTAAACTGAACCGCATTTGCAGTATTAAGAACCGAACCGCATTTGCGGTTGCGGTTGCGGTATTTGATTTTCAAAACTTGCATTTACCGCAAACCGCAAAGTATAGCCGCACGGATGATGATGTTGAATTCTACAAGGAAATAGAACATATGAGAACTTGTAAGTAATTCGTTTATTTATGCTAATGTTATTTATGCTTCTTCTTATAATAAAATGTACTAAACTGTGTTGTTTTATTTGTAGATAACATTGGTGCTCAAACAACACAACGAGGTTCTTCAAATCCACTCACCACCAACACTTTAGTTTGTAACATTGGTGCATTGCATTTTCCTTTTAGTCTGTAACTTTAATTCACTTTGAATTGGATTTTTCTTTTTGGTTGTAACTTTAATTCATTTTGCTTTGCATTTTCCTTTGTAACTTTAAATGATTTGGAATTGGAATGCTTGAGAAGTTTAACTTTAATTGGAACGCTTGGAATTGTAACTTTAATTTTCTTAGGTTGTGAATGCTTGAGAAGTTGAGGAGATTGTGAATTTATATATGTTTGAGAAATTGAGGTTGTGTATTTATTTATTTAGGTTATGAATTTATATTTTGTGAATGCTTAAGAACTTGCGGTTTTAACCGCTAATTCGCGGTAATCGACCGCATTTTGCGGTTTACCGCAATGCGGTAAACTGCAAAACGCGGTCGGTTTGCGGTTTCAAAAATCACCAAACCGCAAATAGTCGGTCGGTTTGCGGTTTGAGTAAAAATTCGCGGTTATCGAACCGCAACCACCCCTAAATTTTACCAACGGATAAAAGATTAATGTTGAAACTAGGCACACATAAAACATCTTTCAATTGTGTATGGGAATTTAATGAAATTGTTCCTGTCAAAGTGATCGGAGCCTTGTCTCCACTAGGCAAGGAAACGGGAGGTGAAGGAGTGGTGGGAGTGCTATTCATCAATGAATGAGAAGAACATGTGATGTGATCTGTCGCGCCGCTGTCAATGATCCATGGACCATGAGAAGAAGTGATGGGTGACAAACCTTGAGAAAAAGAACTGGCAGGAGCAGTATGTGCTTGCGAGTTGGAAGGAGAGGAATTGGATGTCTCAGCCACCACGGACATGGTTTCTTGATATTGGTTGTCGGATAAGTGGGGCATCGCAGACTGAATATCTTGGAGAATTGGGGCATGAGCGGTGACTTGGTGGGCAGTAAAGGAGGCATGGGAAAGGTGGTTGCTGCCACCGGTGGTTTTGGTGTTGTGCCGACTGCTACTGTGGTTGTTATTGTGGTTGCGGCGTGGAATGGGCTTCTGGCCATAGCGGGGGTGACTGGGTGGGTACCCATGAAGTTGGTAACAGGTATCTCGGGTATGGTGATCATAGTTGCAATAGGTGCAGTGGAGTGGAGGTCGATCTCCTCCTGGACGGGAGCGAGAATCATGACGAACGGCCATGGCTGCAGTCTGCGAATCTGGAGTACGTGTGGAGCCAAGTTCTGGCTGTTTCTCTTCCTGTGAGATGAAGGAATATGCTTGTTGAGTCCACAGGAGAGGTTTCATCAACAAAATCTGGCCACGGATGGCACTGTATGATTCAGGTAATCCCATGAGAAACTGCATAAGTCTATTGGTTTCGTCCTGTGCACCACATGTGCAAGATGTGGCCTCATTGAAGGATGCCAACTCGTCCCAAAACCCCTTTAATTTGGTCTAATATGCAGCAATAGAAAGCTGTCCTTGAGTGAGAGAAGCAATCTCACGGTTGATTTGAAAGAGATGAGGGACATTGTTTTGAGAAAAACGCTCGAGAAGGTCATCCCAAATTTCGTGAGCTGTGGATAAGTAAATGACGCTGTCAGCCACATCTGGTTCCAGAGAAGTCAAAAGCGACGACACCACCATGTCGTTGCATCGCTACCATGCCGTAGAATCGAGAGGGTGCTTATCTGCCTTTGGTTTCTTGATGGATCCATCTATGAACCCAATTTTATTTTTAGCACTAAGAGAGATCTTCATCGAGCGAGACCAGGTGTTGTAGTTGTCGCCATTGAGTTTCTTTGAAACAAGAACCAACCCGGGATGGTCTGAGTGGTTGAGAAAAAGAGGGTCTGTAGCTTCATTGCCGCCCTTTGCGGAGGAGCTGTCGTAACCCATGTGTGAGAGACGAGAGAAGGAAAAAAAAGCTAGGTTTTTGAAACCTGCTCTGATACCATGTAGAAAAATATATTTAGCTTGAATGAATATTTCATTAATAACATAGAGATATATACACGAGTTTTCCTTGTACAATAAGGAATCCTACAATCTAGGAATTCCATCTAAGGGAAGGATTGGATATATAAATCAATCACAAATTCTTTCCTATATAAAATACATTTACTTTCTAACAGTACTTCGATTTTCATCCGCATGGTGATGAATATTGTAATACTTATATGGAATTTATAATAAAAGAAATGTTCTTCTCTTTTCCTTTTTACTTGACTCTCTCTTCCTTTTGTAAGAGTTAAATAAAAAACGAAACAAAAAATAGCAAAAGTAGCTCATCTGAGCAACAAATTTTGGACTTCTATTAAATTGAATTCAATATTTAATGGTGGATTGCTATAGCCTATCTCAATAGGAAAGTTCTTCCTATTGATAATTATAATTAGGCCTTCAGGCGACAAAATAACATCAACAATTAACAAATGAGTTCAGACAAAACGAAAAGAGGGGTGATTTCCCCACTCCTTTTTCTCCTATTTTATCCACTTACACTCCTTTTTTATAACTAAAAAAGGAGTGTAAGTGGATAAAATAGGAGTGGGGAAATCATTGCCCAACGAAAAATACTATTATTTTTAATCTAACAGTCAATAACAATAATTGATGTAATAAATAGGCATCAATAATTCATGTATTACATTAAAGTGGTCACTCTACCTTCCATTCACGTCATTTCTTCTCTATATAAACACAAGAGCATGGTGCCATACCACTCACGACTCTCAAGTTCCTGAAATCAAGTGCTTACAAATCCATTTGAAACTCCTTTTTTCTTCGATCATCATAGTCGAGAGAGATGGCTTACTCTGCCATGACTAAGCTTGCTTTGGTGGTGGCCTTGTGCATGGTTGTGAGCGTGCCCATTGCTCAAGCCATAACATGTGGCCAAGTGTCCAACAGCGTTGCACCATGCATACCCTACGTGATAGGCGGTGGAGCTGTGCCTCCAGCTTGCTGCAACGGCATCAGGAACGTCGAAAACTTGGCAAAGACCACCGCTGACCGGCAGGCCGCTTGCAACTGCCTGAAACAGCTTTCCGGCAGCATCCCCGGAGTCAACCCTAACAATGCCGCATTGCTTCCGGGCAAGTGTGGAGTTAATAATAATATTCCTTACAATATTAGCTCCTCCACCGACTGCGCCACGTACGTATGAAAAATAAAAAGAACTTCAAGTTTTAATTTTTGTAGGTTTGATCAAAATTCAACGGTTCACATTATCTCGAAACCTAACTTTTTAAATGTGGATCATTGAAATTTTGGTCTAGCTTGTTGACAATTAAATGCGGAATATTATATAGTTGACTGACTTCTGGGTGTGTTTTGTTGTGGTTTTGCAGCGTGATGTGAGCTTGACGCAGATAATATCAGAGAGTGAGAATAAAAATGTGGCTATGTGATCCACTAGGGATTCCTCGTGACGGAATCTTTAAGTTATTCTATGTAATCTTTATCTTTGTATAACTAATAATATTTATGTTTAAGTTATTTTGTTTTTTGCTCTTCTTTTTTCCTATAATTATTCAAATCCCTCTTCCTCAATCCTAATAATTGAAGAAAATATTTATAAAAAAACAAAAACAAAGCTAGCTTGCTTAAGTCCATTGAGATACAAATTAGGGATTTTTTTAATAAATGTCACCTGAACTTATACATCAGTTTCAATTTGTCACCTTAAAAAACAAATTGGCAAACCTAGGCTATAGACAAGGTGGCTTCTTTTTTCCAGCCAAAAAAATAAAATCCTAACTCACCCAGGGACGGACCTTTAGTTTGGCGAACCTGGGCTATAGCCCAAGTGTGGCTTCTTTTTTCCAGCTAAAAAAAATAAAATCCTAGCTCACTCAATTTAAATAACCTGACCTCATTTAGTTCTCCTCTTTGCACAACATGTAGTCAATAAAAAGAAAAAAGAAAAAAAAAGAAGCAGCACCCTACCCTTGCATGTAGAGAGAGAAAAAAAACGCTCTTGTTGCTGCTGCACTCACCTTCAAGACTTAATTCAAGTGAACCAAGTTCCTATATTCGTCATGTAAGCTTCTCTCAATTTCTTGATGCTTTAATTTAAGGATTTTTTTTGTAGTTTATGAAGTTTCAATTAGGATTTGCAATTGGGGCATCAGTTTCAGTTTATGAGTTATGAATTATCAAATAGGATTTGTAATTGATTTTATTGTTCTTGCTGTTTTTTTGTTATCAATGAAATCACATGGTATTGTTGAGTTTTCTATCTACTTAGTACCTAAATTTAGCCCACCCTATTTTAAAATCATAAGTCCGTCCCTGGACCAGGCCCTAGAGAGCCCTGCTGCAATGGGGTTAAGTCTCTTAACAAGAATGCCAATATATACCACCGCTGAACGCCAAAACGTTTGCATGTGTTTGAAATTCGATGCCAGTGGTATCCCAGATCTTAAGCCTAACCTTGTCTCTGGCCTTCCCTCCAGCTGTGGACTTAACCTCCCATACAAGTTCAGCTGCAGCACGTACGTATAAATTTATATATCTCACAAAATCACATAATCAACAGACTATATTATACGTTAAGTTCACTTGTTATAGCGACAAGTTCTCAAGAGATACATGAATTATATAGATATATATATATATAGTAGCCGAGTTGAAAAGGGCATGTACTTACAGACTAGAAGTCTCATACATGGCATAAGTTGTGTGTGTAAGAAATTTCATTCCCTATAATTTAGACTATCGTTTATACTTAAAAAAAACATAATATATGTCATTTTTCATGAAAATATCTGTAGCATGTATTGCACCGATCAAGAGCTATGTATATGACGTACGTAGTTCAACAACAAAGTTTGTCATGTAGTTAAAAGCATTGAATTTAGCTGCCAACTAATATCCATATTTCGAAGCCACATGTTCGTGGCCTTTGTTCTTTACTCTCCCACTTTTTCATATATAAACCCCTCCAGACCACTCGTCCCTACCACACAGTCAAACTCACAAACCTCCAGCTACAAGTATACATTTTCACAAAGCTCCTTCAAAGTCTCAATACTTCTTCTGAAGTTATGGCAAGCTCCGTGGCCTTCAAGCTTGTTCTGGTGGTCCTCGGGTGTATGCTGGTTGGTGCACCCTTAGCCCAAGCTGTCATACCATGCAGCAGGGTGTCACAATATGTGGGACCCTGCATAAGTTACTTGAAGAAGGGTGGGGCCGTCCCTGTACCATGCTGCAATGGGATTAGGTCCCTGATCGGCTTGGCTGGGACCACACCTGACCGCCAGGGAGTGTGTAGGTGCTTGGTCGCGACTGCTAAATCAATTACCGGGATCAGGGGTGACCTTGTTAGTGGACTCCCTAGGGCTTGTAGTGTGAGGCTTCCTTACCCCACTGGACCCAACGTTGACTGCAACCGGTAAAATAAAATTCATGTTACATTACCTCAATTTTCACATTAAAAAGATGGATTAAAATAACCTTAATTTTATTTTATTGTGTGATGCAGGATCCACTGAAGTTGAGATGGGGAGGCAGTTTTTGGCCGCCAGATAAAATCTTGTAGGTGCTAAAATAAAGTGGGTGCTGAAGAACTCTCTATCATCAGCTCCTTGAAAGTACATGATCCTTGTTTGTAAAATTCTCTCTACAAGATCTGTACTACCTTCTCTTTTATGAATAATAAGAGTTATCCATTTTTTATAAAAAAAAAAAAAAAAAAAAAAAAAAAAAAAAAAAAAAAAAAAAAACAAATCAATATCTAAATCTCCTAAAATAAAAAAAAAATAAAAATTATATATTCTTATGATTAATTAGAAAACTTAACAAAATAAATAAATAAAACAGTGGCATTAGTTGTACCGACCATTTCTTTCAAAGTCCTAAATATAATTACGTATGTGAGATTCACATTTATGGATGGCTGCGTGACACCGACTATTAATTTCATTTTGGACGAAATTCATTTAAGTTTCTTTTGTCTTGACCAGAAGGAAAAACTTATGGCAAAACATTCTGACAAAAATTAGGTACATGTAAAATCTGTCCTCGATGAAAATATATTCCAATCTAAGTTCTAGATCTATCAAATATTAGTTAGATTTTCCAATCGTATGGCTTAAATCAATTCTGGATAGGGGCCAATCAATTCTATGGAGAATCTAATAACTTTATGTGGTTTTAAGTGATTTTAGGGACAAATATATGAAAGATGTTTCTCCTCGGAATCACTTAAAATCACTTAAAATTATTATATAGAGAAGTACATGAGAAATACTTCTTCCTCTAAGTGATTTTGACCCTCTCAAAATCACTCTCAAACGAGTCATCATTGTCTTGTGTGCTGTAGTCTTTTAGCTTTTTGTTTATTTTGGGCTTCGGAGTCTGTTATATCGGGCCTTTGTATGTCTTGGGTCTTGCTGCCGCTCTGGGTTATCTATGAATATTTTCATACCCAAAAAGTAAAAATAAACTTGTTTCTCCATGAAAGTTTTTGGTTGAAACCAAGGTCTTAGATATCGATAGTTTCGGAAATATCGGTGGTTCAAAAACACGAAAATATTGATGGAAATATCGGGAAAATATCGATATCGATAAAAATTGGATAAAAACCATGGAAATTGTGATAAATACATGGAAATTTTTAATGAAACTTTAGAATAAGTTTTTTTAGTCAATCATCTATTATTTTGACACAAAAATTTGGAAGGAAATGCATTGCATAGTGGGTTTGAGTGATTTAAGTTGATTATATTGCGAGCTGACAAACTCTGTGACTTAGAAAATATGGAGTAATTAATGAAGAGAATTAAACACCCCATAGTAATTTATTTATCATTTTTTAGTACAATATTTTACACTTTATAAATTTCATGGTAAGATACATGTGTAACCTTATTTCACATTATTCATTGGACATTGTACACGTTTTTATATTTATTATTTATCAAAAATTGAAAAATAATTAAACCAACTTGACTTTTCATGAAAATTAGGCACTTTACCATACTTAAAAAATAATAGTGAAGATTGAAAATTAACTAAGAACATAAATAAATTTATCAAAGAAAGAATTAAGTAGTAAACAAAGAAAATAATTATAGAGATTTAAGTAATTAAGCAACAATTTGAAGGGGAATTTAGTAATGTAAGTACTTATAATGAATAATAAAATAATCAATAACATTAAATGGATTAAATAGAAAAGAAATAAATTATATTAAATAATTAAGTAACTGATCAACAATATAAAACAATAAGTAATTATGTTAATTTCTATTTTGAGAAGCATGTATTATAAATACATATTCCATAGCTTATTATCACAAAGTGATGACTGTCGTGATGGTTAAGTGGCTGCAAAAATTCGGAGTTGGGAGGGGTTCGAACCCCCCTGTAACCGAGAAATTTATACAATAATATATAACAAATAGGATGCACCACCAAACAACTATATGATGAACTTAATAATAGATAATACTTTGAACTACTCTTAGGATAAACAAAAATTAGGGAATTTTTTTTATTTAATTTTTTTTAAAAAGGACCCCAGTATAGCCGTGCGGCTATACGTCTTAAATATATAACTATATTTGAAGGGTATAGCCGGACGGCAAGATGTTTTCATGGATATTTTCTATCAAATTATGGAGTTTGTTGGTGTTAATACTCCTTTCTGCTGTACTGTTTGCAAGTCATGTAGAGTAAATCATTCTTCAATCCTTGTAGTTGTGGAGGACAATACTGCTGAGACTATTTAAGCTTGTCACTGTGTTTCTTCAAGAGGCGAATCATGCTATTGCTTGTAAACTTACATGTGGTCATGTAAGAAGCTCTGTTCTTTCATATTTTCATATAAACTTTTCATAATGCTCATGTTGATGATAAATTGCAACAGAATGCCTGCGTCGCCTTGCTCTAGGGTTGTTGAATTAATGAATTTTATTTAGTATAATTTTTGTGACTGATAACTCAAGTGAGGAAAAAAAGCAAATTTCTTCCGGCACTAATGCCCTTTCATATATTTTCTTCAATGGTAGATTTATAATCTGTACATGGCGATGGTGCTTTTTCGCTACTTCTGTATGCACTTATTGTATTCTGTTAACAAATGGAAGGACATTGTTAAGTTTGCATTGCTCAAATTGATACATTGCAGCAGAATACCTTGCTACGATATATCCTAATGAAACTCATAATTTCATGAGTATCTACTCTCTCTCTCTCTGACTCATCATCTTGGTGAGGTCAAATTCTGACCTAGGTAGCTTCGTAATTAGCTAAGTTTAGAAAGTCTTTCATTTATTTGCGGCAGCTAATGATACAGATTAGTTTGCAGGTAGAAGGGATTCAAGTTCATGCAGATGAGGGTGGAACCACACAAACCAGTGGTGGTGTATTATACTGTATCTTTGACTTATTTTATATTTTGAATCTTTAGCTCTTCTCCATTGAGAGCTGTGTCCAAATAAGTTCTGATGTACTGTTTATAGCTAAAAATGTAAGTACTAATTCACATATCATTTACTTGATTTTGCCTGTTACCTTGCTTTCTATGCTAAAATGCACCTATAAGCATTCGAGTGGGTACAGGCAACAGTTTAACATGAGAAATTTGCAGAAGAGTGTCCTTGCTGTACTGGTTGTGGATGGGATGTCATTTAGTGAGCTTCTTATATTGTTAATAAGATTTTTGCCTGGGAGCTTTCCTTCTGATTTTTTTTATGCATTTCCATTTCTTTTGCTGGACAAACTACAAGGGATGCTCTTATATATGCCGTACTTGCGTGGTTTTTTCTGACTCTGAAGAGCTTTACTTGTAGGGGGTTTATATCTTTCTTGTTTCTCTGCGGAGCCATGTACCTTGGTCTTGTGATTTTGTCTTGAGGTATATGCTTTGCTTCCACTAAAGCTTAAATGAATTACTTGTAGTTACTAAAATGGTTATATTTCTGTCATTCTCATTGCCTAGCTATTAGCTCCATCACTTTCCCTCCATCATTGCTATAACTTGTGTAGATTCATTCTTTCCAACGCGGTGGATCTCAGATATCTTAGTTATGCCAATGAATTTTGTTTATGGGGATTGTATAAGTTTTCTCGTAGAGTTCTTTGGAAGTTTTTTCAGCATGCATCCACAGCATGTTGCTACACAAATAGCTGCTGGCTGTTTCATCGTTTCCCTATTTGTTGTACTCTTTTTAGCTAAAAATGTAAGTATAAGTGAACCTATCTTCTACTGTTGGTTTTGAATGCTAGAATGCACCTATGATATGAAGCATTTGGGACAGGCAGCAACACTTTGACATTAGATATCATGGATTCTAATTGGAAAGTAATTGATGAAGAGCTATATCCCAGGGTACACAATTGGGTTGTAAACTCAATTTTTTTCTTCTTTTATATATGCCTATAAGACCATCTCCAACCCAGGGGGTGGAAACTCAAATTTTGAGTTTTGAGTCCAAAAAACTTATCAAACCCTTGTATTTTGGGTGGTGAAAATTTGAGAAATCTCAAATCTTTGGTGGAATTCCAGTCTCATTATTGCCTGGACTGATATTTTTTTGTGGGCCCAAAATCTGGATTTTTTTTTTCTGGTTGAAGCCCACATGCTGAACAATATTTGCTGGGCCCGCTGGGAGTTTCTGTTTGGGCAGCAACTTTGTGTGAAAAAACTGGGGCACATTTCATTATTGATCGATAACGGCCATATTTTCAAAACTTTATATATATATATATATATTCCAACAGCTATATTTGTTGGTGTTGTATTTGTTTTTATTTTTAAATAAAATTCTATTATGTTTTGGAATTTTAATTTTTTTAGGTTAAAATGTTTAGAAAATTAAATAACGAGTGTTGAAACAAAAATAATGTCAAGAAAAAAAATTTAGGGGTTAATCATTCTTAAACAATTTAATAAAGTTGCGGACTCAAATTATGAGTCTGCAAGGTTGGAGGGAAAAAAAAAATTGAGCCATGAAAATACATGAATAGTTGTATTTTGGAGGGTGAAAATTTGAGTTTAACCCCAACATGGTTGGAGATGGCCTAAAGGAATGTAAAACTTGCTAACTAAATCCTTACCCTGTTGTATTTGTACTGCTTGATAATGTACAATGGACATTTAGAGGACTTTGTATAGGTATGCATTCCGTAATTCCAATCAAATATCTTCCTATTACTACTAGCAATGTGATATTTGGATGTTTTATGTTTACTTCTTGAGCCACCAGGATTCATTATTTTATTTGCTGGAATTTGGTATGTGCAATGCAAGAAACAACGCCAGTTCGTATACTAAGGGAAATGATTCTGTTTAACTTTTAATATTTAATACAATTTTTTTTAATTTTTTTAATATTTATTATTTTATTCAATAATATGTAAAAATTATGTGTATAATACGTGAATTTTGCTTGTATTATTGAAAATTTTGTAAAAAACACACGAACATGAAAAATATGTACATATTATACATTTGCTTTCTAAAAAACGTATATTTTACCAAGTCTTTAAGACGTGTATGGAAAACTAAAATATTATTAAAAAATACATACGTAAGTGTATAATATAAATATTAAATAGAAAAATGCTAAATTCTTTATACAAGTAATAACTCTGAAGAAGTAAAAAATCAAAAGGAGTCCCCATGTAGTTTAGACATTTATGATCCGGCCGACCTTTGATGAGGGCTTGCTTGCATTTGGCCAAGATAAAAATCTCACACGCATTCCCAAACTAAAATGTGGTGTGTGAATGAACTGAATTATTATATAGCTCGTACAAAGCAGACAAAAACGAGAACAGGAAAGTTAATTTCAAGACATGAATTTTGGTTTCTCGATCCAAGTGCTAGCATTTAACATCCTCAACAAAACTCCGCTTAAGTTTTCAATTCCTCCCAACTACCAAGTAGCACAAACAAAGCCCCAAGATCACAGGCTCACATGCTAGCTCTTCCATTGTCTATATAAACAGCATACCTTCTGCCCTCTCATAGCCACCAGTATCTGTCTCCAAACACTAGAGCAAAAGTCAGTTTCAAAAGAGAAAATATATCAGCTTTACTTACGACGTCGTTATGGCTAGCTCTGGACAGCTCCTCAAGCTCGTTTGCCTTGCGGCGGTGATGTGCTGCATGGCGGTTGGTGCTCCCAAGGCCATGGCAGCTGTGTCATGCGGCCAGGTGGTGAACAGTCTGACCCCATGCTTAAGCTACGTGTCAAACAATGGGCCTTTGAACCCTAGTTGCTGCACTGGGGTCAAGTCTCTCTACAGCATGGCTCAGACCACAGCTGACCGCCAGAGCATCTGCAACTGCCTGAAGCAAGCCATCAATGGCATCCCTTACACCAATGCAAATGCTGGCCTTGCCGCTGGCCTTCCTGGCAAGTGTGGGGTCAATATTCCTTACAAGATCTCTCCTTCTACTGACTGCAAAAGGTATGAAAAAAATCCAATCATTTTTATGATATTAGATTATATTTTCATTATTATGTTCTTAACCAAGTTTTGTGTGTTGCAGCATCAAGTGAGAGGTTTCTGTGGAAGCCAGCAGCTTGAACTAGTGGCATAAGAATAAATTGGTGCTTTGGTTTGGCTGGCTCGTGCACCGCTTTTGGGAGTTTGTCTGCTGTTGGTTTCAGCGGGTGTTGCTCTAGTTGTTATGTCATCTACTTGGTGTTTAGGTTTCTAGTTCGACAGTGGCTGATTTGATTTCCCCTGTGTTTAAATCAGCTTCTTTGTTGTGACTATCTACTGTTTAATTAGTAATTATATATCTTTTCTCTTAACATCCATGCAGCTTGAGTATTTAACCAAAGTAATTAGCATTGGATCAGTGTGGGGTTTGCAGTTAATCAAACTAAAACATGGTTTTTCTTTGTCGACGCCTAAATCAAAAGTTCAGGTTTTTTCTTTTATTGTTTATGTGTGCATATATCTATATCTAGCTGTGTCTGGTCCACTGTTATAAGAAGGAGAAAGAATATGGAACAAGCAATTGAATGATGTTAATTATGGCACCTTAAAGCAAAAGCAGTAAATGAACCCACCAGATTGGGACATTTCCCCAATGAAATTACTTGACACCATGCATAACTGGAACCCTCATCACCCAAAAATAATTAGCTACAGTAACCATGGGTCAAATTTATTCTCTAGTCAATTGTAAACAAGAGGGACTCACAGTAATGATTGGGAATGGAAGTTGCTTTCCATTCTCTGCCTCCACATCCCCACTTCTAATTCTCTAGACAAATATACATAGGACCCATTACACACATAATGTTGGGGTCATTTCTTCTTAACTCCTCTCTAATCAAGTAAATTGCACCTATATTGTCCCAAACTTCGCTCCTAAGTTTTTTTTTAATAGAAAAAGAAAAATATCTACAACCGACAACCACGAGAGCACGCAAGCACAAACAAATCAAAATAAAAAGGAATCTAACAATTCAAAGACAATCCATGCTCTCACAAATGTGACCGAAAAAGACCATGACCTAAATCAGTTAAAGCATCAGCATTAAAATTAGCTTCCCTAAAAACATGTTTAAAAGAAACTTCTTCACAAGACGAAGGTTGATCAAACCATAGACCCATCCATGTTCAATTTTCACCGTCTCCAAATATTTGAGCGAGAATCATAAATGAGTGTGGTTATTCGAACAGTTACGAAGTGGAATATCATAAAAAGGCTCCGGCCCAACTAGCAAGACCCAGGCCCAAGCCCTAGAGGGGTGGGTCCAAGTCAGTCAGTCGCTGAATGCTGAGAGAGTCCTAACTTGAGCTTTAGTTGTTTCAACTGCCAACCGTCTCTCATTCCTTTTCCCACCTAAACCTAACTACAAGGATTTATGAGGAGGAAGGATCTGGATACGATGGACCTAAGACCATCTCCAACCATGTTGGGGCTAAACTCAAATTTTCACCCTCCAAAATACAACTATTCATGTATTTTCAGGACTCAAATTTTTTTTTTCCTCCAATCTTGTAGACTCATAATTTGAGTCCGTAACTTTATTAAATTGTTTAAGAATGATTTACCCCTAAATTTTGTTTCTTGTTAATTTTTCTTGACATTATTTTTGTTTCAACACTCGTGATTTAATTTTCTAAACATTTTAACCTAAAAAAAATAAAATTCCAAAACATAATTGAATTTCACTTAAAAAATTAAAATAAGTACAATACCATACGTATGCCCGGAATAATTCGAACTCTTCATTGAATTATGTAAGTGTGTTTAAATTATCTAAGAATTTTTAAATAAACGACAATCATTAAATTTTGCCGTTGAGATTGCTTAAAATTAATCATGATTATTGATTACAAATATAGTTGTTTAAAAAAAAAAAAAAAAAAAAAAAAAAAAAAAAAAAAAACCAAAACAGATATTTTGGCACAAAGTTGCTGCCCAAACAGTGTAACCAAAACTGGGCCCAGCAAACATTGTGCAGCACATGGGCTTCAGTCAGAAAAAAATAAATAAAAAAAGCAGATTTTGGGCCCACAAAATTATCAATCCAGGCAAAAATGGGACTGGAATTCCACCCAAGATTTGAGATTTCTCAAATTTCCACCCCCAAAAATACATGGGTTGGAGATGGTTTTTGGAGGCTAAACTCAAAATTTGAGTTTCCACTCCAAGGGTTGGAGATGGTCTAACGGTAGTGAAGTAGTTCAAATCTCATTATATTATTATTAGACACCACTCACCAAATGCCCTTTCAAATCTCATTATATTAATGTTCTAGTTCAAAATCTTACATCAAAATAGTGAAGACAAATTTCCCCAAAGTGGGCCCCACCACGAGCGACAGAAGCTATGCCTGACATAACAGGCCCCACCAAGATGTGTCCCGCTCATCACGGGCCAGCCCAGAGCCTAAACCACACCCCCTCGACCCCACCTTGGCCCCTTGATCAACGTTTGTCCCGGTGTTTTCTTCTCTAACCTACGTGTTCTGATTTGATATCAATGGTGGGGTCTCTAAGTCTATTCTATTTACAAGAAGAAAAAAAAATTTAAAAGAAAAATTATTTATGTTATACAACAAACAAAGCATAGCCACCGACACACGATATGAGTAGTAAGATGTTAATCTTGTAGTTAAGACTCCTTAATGTTGGTCAAATAAAAGGTTGGGAGAATTAAAAAGAAATCGAATCATCTATTTTTTATGGATTTAGTGATGTTGAGAACATTTTAAGTACATATATATTAACATTAGAGCAACGGGGTGGGTTGGGCAGAAGGGGTAAAAGCTAAGGCTTTGAATTTTGAGTGCATTAGACTCTTTTGTCATGTGTGAAATCCCTTAGAACCCTTTTTTTTTCTTTCAAAAATGTGAAAACCCTTAGAATGTTAGTGAAATCAAAAGTAGAGAGAAAATGTGTGGCAAATTACATGAAGAGTCAAATGCTAAGTGAGTGTGAAACTCCGACACGTATCTTACACGAACATGACAACTCTAAAAAAGTATCAATGGTTCGTGGATGATCTATTTTCGATAAATTTAATGGTTTCACAATAACATTTAGCTCTTTCTTATGCTCAATTCTATTGATTTCGTGACAAGTAAGATCATTTGAAGCAGAGAATATGATAACATATTAACATGGACCTAGGAGGATATGCCTGTGTTCATAAGGAATTATGAGAACATTTTAACTACAAATTTATCAACACTACAGGAAGGGGAGGCTTGGGGAGCAGGGGGAAAAGCTATATAGATATTTGCAAACACTTGGAGATGCTAGTATAGTAGGTCACCCATCTTTCAGGTTAAAGTAGCATTTAAAAATAGGGTGAAACGAACCCTCCTTCCATAGATAACCCATCCAAAGGATAACAACATCAGTTCAAATGCGTGACCATTAAGTATCTTTTGCAGGCAGTAAAGGGCGAAAAGCTAGACAGATATTTTCTGGTTTTTTTCTCTCTCTTTTTCTCTTTTCCTTTAAACAGATATCATACTTATCCATCTATGATGTCAAAAGCAACATACAACCGAATTGGATATTGGCAACAAAATTTCCACTATGCCTGAATCTGCATCCAAGCACAGATCATACATCAAACAGTTTGTGATTGGTATAAACCACATAGGATTTACTAGGCTCCATTTACAGATGCACAACAGGGGATTAATAAGATCGGATCTTAGAGCCATTATCAAGGGTTATTAAAATTCTTAATCATGATTAGGTAGACTAAGCTGAAACCATTTTCTCTCACTTTTCCCTACCTTTATATCTGTCTGCTGCATAAATGCACATCTCCTTGGACCAACATGACCCCTTCAAACACTACGACTGCTGCATAGGCATTAGCCCCCTCTCTCTCTCTCTCTCTCTCTCTCTCTCTCTCTCTCTCTCAATATCAAATACAGAGCTGGGCATGTCACCTTTTCTTATGCACATAATTGGAAGAAAATTTATGGTCCTTTTGGCTCTTCTGGGTTCTTGACAAAGATGATGACTATGCAAAGTTACTCTTAGCACCAGATTTCAGTCAAGATAGGTTCTTTTCTGATTGGTTTTGGTTCCAAAGGAGGGAAATTTCTATCCTCCTAAAGAGGACCATTTCTGATTAAGAAGCTGAGAATCGTTGAGCAGCTGAAAAAGGGTCTCTGATTCGGATAACAGCCACTCTCATAAACAAATAAAGATATGCTCTCTCTGTGTCCCTTTCTAGCTGGAATCTTCACAACAGTTCTGTAACTTAAACGACCTACAAGTACCACCTTTCTGTTCTTCACACCAGAAAAGAACGACTCGGCAACCAAAGAGCCCTTCGCTTTCTCTGTTTTTTTCCGTTCATTTTCTTCAACTTCCATCTCATCAAGCAAGCTGCTAAAAACCCACCAGAAATATGCATCGACTTCTCCTCGGCACAGAGCCAAATACGGCGCCGTCCTTTAGGAACAGGACAGCAGATTCATACATTAGCGAGGCCAACTTTGACACCAACATGGTGATCATATTGGCAGCCCTGTTATGTGCTCTGATATGTGCACTTGGGCTCAACTCAATTGTCCGCTGTGCCCTGCGCTGCAGCCACAGGTTTGCTTTGGAGACGCCGGAACAAGCAGCTGCAAGGTTGGCAGCCACAGGCCTGAAGAAGAGCCATTTGCGCCAGATCCCAATTGCTGTTTATGGCTCCGGCGTGGAAATTCCGGCCACAGAATGCCCAATTTGCCTTGGAGAGTTTGAAGATGGAGAAAAAGTCAGGGTGCTGCCAGAATGCAATCACGGATTTCATGTGAGGTGCATAGATACGTGGCTTTTGTCCCACTCGTCCTGCCCAAACTGTCGACATTCATTGCTTGAACAACACCATCCCAAAAAGAGTACCAGGACTAGTAGTGCCAGTACTGTTGATGCAAGCCAAAATCAAGAAGCTGCTGCTACTGCAGCAGAGCCATCAAATTCAACCAATGAGTCCAACCAGCAAGGCAGAGTGGTCATAGTCATTGAGCAGGCAAGTTAAATTAAACCTGCCAACAAAAAAAAGTCGAGAACTTTATGGTGGAGCTTCAAAAATTTACAGGGTAGAAATAGTTTAAGGTCACAGTATGAAGCTTATTGATCTAATTTTGAGGAGAGACCAAAGTAGCAATTAGCAAAATGATGGGAGGTTTTTATTTTTAGCTTGTAATTTTGTACAGAGCATGATGAGATCACTTCGATGAAAATCGTCTTCTGGTGCACTTCTCTGATCAAATGTTTCAGTAAATCATCAAACAATTTTAGAAAGAACCAAGTTCTTTTCTTTTTTCTTAAACTATAATTATGATTAAACTATAATTGTTTGATCATATGGAGCCGGACCAGTTAAAGGGTTAGGGTTAGTTTTCAAGTGTGGTCCAGTTTTACAGCTAGAGGATGGCGAGTTGGAACAGACTTTATTCCCAACACTGCTTGCTTATCTCAAACCCAACTGATCCACGACTAAAGTGGCTCTCTCTCTCTCTCTCTCTCTCTCTCTCTCTCTCTCCTATTTTGTACCTAACCAAAACTTTTCCATCCGTACTGGGCCTATATAGAAGAGGATCTACCTCTTCTACTTGGCGCTTCATTCTCTAAAGTAAATATCAATCAAGACAAGTGGATAATTCATTCCCTAAAAAGCTTAAAATCGGGAGGTTTCGCACCAATTTGTATTTTCTTTTTCAACACCCGGGCAACAATTAATCAGTGCTGCATTAGAACACCGTTGTAACAAGAGCACACGATGGGCTACTTAATATAACATGAGTGAATTAGTTATATCACATAGTTATGCTTTTGGGTTGATTCAGGCCGTGAATATTGATCCATGCTCTTAAGAAAGTTGCATGCTATATTAGTGTTGTAAATGGTGAAGTGAAATAGACTCTCATGCAACGGGAATAATACTTTTTGCTATCTTCGATCAATAGTGCAATGACATGCGAGATGACGTTTTCACTTGTTATTGTATTATTAGCCATTATAACAAGAAAGTTTTTCTACTATAGTAGGCTGGTCCTCTCAGATTGCAATTTATGCCAAAGGAAAAAAAGGGTGGGAAAATGTCGACATTTTTGTAAGGGTTGTCTGCTCTTGTATTGTAAATTTTAATTGGTGTCACATAGCTAGCAAGGCTTGTATAAAGTCCTTTCAATAGGCATCAATAATAAGTGGACAAGGGACCACCCACTACGTGTTTCTGGGTCTCTCTTGTAAGTACTTCAGTACATGTATCTAATCAAGAGCTTTCACCAATTGGACAGGTGGCTAATGGCTATGGGGCCAAGGGGAAGGGATGAATTCACTTCTTTTTCATAGGCTTACTTGGAGATGGAGGCAACGCCTGGATATGGAGTGTAGATTAGATTTCTTTTTTGGTACACCAAATCTCAATAAAATAGGATAAGATATGTTAATGCGTACAATAATAAAGGAAATATATTAAAGCAATTCAAATGGACAATAAATCATAGCAAAGATAGCTTGTTCAAGTATTTTTAGGGTTTTCGATTTGTTTGAACATCTTTAGGGTTTTCGAGTTTGAGCATTTTTAGGACATTACGAAACATTTAGGGTTTCCGAAGTTTACTCTGTACATAGCCTTTTTGAGTTGTACTTGTAATGATCAAATTTTAGGAGACAAGATTCTCTCATGCCCAGCGAATTCTAAAACGTGTTCGAGGGTGTAACGCTTGTTAACTCTTTTTCTTGATAACTTCGGCTGCCTCACTCCCTTCGATCCAAACAAAAATCCATCTAGAACACAAGACAATTTCGAAGCTCATACTCTCTTGAAGGTGTTTCTATATGCTCTCAGAAGTTTGATCAGCGCACCCAACATCTGAAAATTATGGTGCTTGATAGAGCCCAAGTTTATAAAATCCAGAACAATTGGGCCGAATTTTTAATGGCTTTTTGAAATAGTGGCTTTTTAAAAAAGCCAAAATCACGGGGCAACGGCTACTAAGGTCCACACGACGCGAAGGCAGAGCAGATCCGGCTCTTCAACTGAGCTCGTCTTCCACAATGCAAGCAGAGAAGCAGCAAGCATGGAAAATCAGCGTTCAAGCTAAAGCTAAGAACTTCCATTTCAAATTGAAAGCAACCCAAATCGCGCCCTCCACTTGGAAGCTCCATCGACTCTCCATTTCCCTCAAGCTCCGCAAGCTTTTTCTCGGAGTAAATGCAGAATCCACAGGGCATCAAAAAACGAAAAAGAACTCAGAATTCACATCATTATTAGTTCCTGGACAGCAGCAGAAACAAACCCTGAAATCCAAATTCCTTATATTTGTGAAGAAGTTTCGATTTCGCAGCTCCAAGAAACGGGATAAACCTCAACGGTTCTCTTATGAGGTTGCTCATATGTCATATATCTTTCATTTATAAAGATCAAATATTTTTCTTGTATAACTTTTTTTCTTTTTTGGGCAGGAATTAATTTCTGCGGGTAATTTGGTGAATGGAGGTCTTGCATTTCTACCTCAATCAATCACCAGAGTTTTGGTCATCTTGCTGCTTCTGATGGTTGCTGCCGCATTTGCCAGTCCAGCAGTGCTTGATTTTAACAATTATTTGAAGTACTGTGGAAAAATACGTGGGGCTTGGTCCAAACTCTCAACCTGATTTACCTGTTTGATATTCCCTGTCATATTTTCTTGATTTGATTTGACATAATCTCTACAAGTTTTGATCTCTCGATGTATCTTTTATTTCCTTTCTCAACGTTTGCTTGGGCCAACATCATTGGAGGCTTGCATTGCATTGCACACTTTTTTGTTCTATAAGATGGAGCCCAAATGAATGAGACATCTTAATAGGCCCAATTGAACCAGGCTCCTGACTGGAGCTTGAAATTGTGCCATTCGAACTGACAAACCCTAGATTCAGCTTGCAACCAAACCACAAAAGAGCTTCTAAATCCACTCAACAATTTAATCATCAACACATCTATTGTATAAAACAAATTTTGACTTGTTATCCCCAACTGTAGCTATTCAAATCAAAGAGATGACTTGTTATCAACTCAAATCTTGACCGGTCTTATTTACTATCCTTAATGTTACACTGTATCTAGTCATTTCAAATTCATTAATCTGTCGTGCCTACGAAGAACACAATTCTTTCAATTAATATAATATATTTTTACACAATAGAAGCACAGTATGTTTGAAATTTGAAACTAGGGCATGGTTGAAATTATTGAGTTGAGCTTTGATGGGCAAAGGCCAACCATAAAATGGATCACACTTCCTTCACTACTTTATTATAGTTGAAGGGCTTAAAGAGATGAACAGTGTAAAGTGTTAAAGAAGGAGGGTGGGGCCATGGGGCGCGGAAGGGCCCACGTATGGTGTTGTTGATGATATAGGGGAAGTACTTCTCTCTAAGCGTGCAGGCGCGTGAAAAAAGCTTGCCTACGACAACAAATGCTAGTCCCACTGTACATTATCATAAGGACAAAGTATGTTGATGTCAGTGGGTCCCGCGAGTCCTTTTCAAGGCCGCACGTCGACCGTCGATCTTCCCGCCACGCGCTCATCCGACGGGACGGCTTGCGAGTCAAAGATCTATCGAGATAGGTCTCTTTGACCCACACTGGAAACATGCCCTTCTTTTCTAATTTTTTGTTTTTTTTAAACAAATAAAATAATAATAATTAATTTCCAAACTTTGACTGGGATGTCACTTCAATCGAGGCGCGCTTCGTTGAAAATCGGGCTGCTCCCTAGAATTTACCATTTTGGTCATGCTTTCTGCCCCCCTCCTTCTCTTGTTTTTGTTGCCATGTTTAACCAAATGCTCAAATGTCCAAACTACCCTCTACTTTGGTATGCAGGAATTGGTTTTTCTCCGTCACGACAATTTTGGGTGGTTGAGTGCAACGTATGTATCCTTGCACTTTGATACGTAACCTTTTTATGACTGCAGGAAAATTCTGAATCTGAATGGTCGTTACTTAAATATAATGGGAACCTATAATTTTGACCAAGAATTCATGCTTCTACAATTTAAGCATTTCCCAAGTACTACTTTGAAAATTGGGTTGCCCACTTTCAGCAGTACAACAATTATTGCATCAACTAGTACAAAGGAATCTTATTTTCATGTTCCCTTTCTTTAAAGTTCAAAAAACAATGAAAAAAGTGAATGCAAATTTCATGACCAAGTTTTTATTTACACCCTAATTTTTAAGGAGATAAGTTTATTGATAAGACTGATAGTGATATTACGAATAATCGCTTATTCAGTTGATGTAAGTAAATTAACAATTGACAATCCCACACGCACGAGTCATCTATTCCTAATATTATACTTTCCTTGACACAAATAACACTCAATTTTGTTCAAATCTTGTTAAGTCCGGCCAATATCTTTATGCGCCATCTTTAATTTGTGGTACGCTACACATATCTCAAAAATTAAACCCATTCAACGAGCACTATTGAGATGATGAGCAAAAATGTTCTCATTTTTATTTACAGGGGCAACCTGTTCTACCCTTTCTAGGCGCATGACGTTTGTAACACATTTCCAAATCTAATAAGAGAAGAAGAATCTAAAGGGCAAAATTGTCAAAATGGGAATGAGAAAGCCATTTCTGTTGTTTTAAGGATAATAATAATGATACTTTCTAATGTTAATTAAATATTGGTTTTTGGTAGGTTTGACCAGTGCTGATTGGGCTCCATTCCTCTTTGAGAGACTCTCCCTCTCCCTCCATCTTTCCCTCTGTCTCTCCCCCAATTCTAATATTCCTAAACATCTTTTCTCTACTTTTCTCTCCCTCTCTAAAATCTCTATCTCTCTCTCTCTCTCTCTCTCTCTCTCTCCCACACACTTCCCAACCTTTACCAATCTGCTTTCTTTGACCTGTCGTGCGCTTTTCTTCTCCAAATCGAAGCCACAGATTCCCATCACACCATTTCCCTTTCTCAATCCCATCCCAAGCTGCATGAAAGCTGGTAATTTTTTTTATTTTTTATTTGTATTTAATGGTTACGTGTTTTCATTTTATTGTTCTTCAAATTCAATGAAAGCTTGAAATTTTTTGAAATTTTCTGGGTATTTTTCTTTCTGGTTGAGATTTTCAGGAAAAATTCTGGGCAACTGATTTGTCTGTTGCTTATTTTGTTGGTTTGCTGCCGATTTGCTTATATTTTGTGGCTGGTAGCTCCTCAGTGATCATCCAATTGTAATTTGTGGGTTTTCATTTATTATATTTTGTGAAATTTTGGGTTTTATGGATCTGGGCTTGGTATTTTTGTGAAGTTGAGCGGGTGCTGATTAATGGATATTTTGTCAGTTTTTGAAAGGAGCCAGAATTGATATGGGATTCGTATCTCGATTCTGTTGAGTTAAAATTTTGCAGAATAGTTGATTGGTAGAGAATATATGTAATGGCCAAGTTGGCATTTGGGAGATTTGGGAATTAAGTGATGTGATTCAGATTGCTGCTCATGACATGGATTTCTATGAGGATATGTTCTCTCTCATTTATCATTTTCCCAATTTCCCCTTTCCAAATTTTGGCAGTAGCATGTATCTGTTTCAGAACATTTCTGTATAATTGGGGGCTCTCAATAATTGTTGTTTTTATCCTTTTTGGTGGCTGGGCCACTGGGATTAACTATATCCTTTTATGAGAGGATGTATATTCCTTCTATTAGTCAATTAAATTGGCTTCTTTTGTTTCTTTCCTGCCAATCCAAGTTTAACCTGATTTGTGGACATAATTTTTTTTTGTCAAAGAGTTCCTCTTGGTTCATTGATTTAGTTTTGGTATTCATAAAGCTCTTAACTTCTATAATCTTTAAGTTTCGTGCACTTTGTTTCTCTTTCGCAGATAGATAGGCCACCTAGTACAGATTAAAGTTTTGAACATACTATGGGGTGCTTCACAGTTTTGAAGAGCAAGAAGAAAAAGTCTGAGCAGAGTATTTATATTAAACGTGTCCCTAACCATAAGGAGCAAACGCCAGCTACGTTGCCTGAACCCCAAGTACAGACCCGCTCGCTACAGTCTGCACCCCCGAGTTTTAGGAACAGAGTGAAACCTATTCAGCCGGTTAATAGCAGAGCCACCAACAATAGAACACGGGCATTATCTGCTCCATCGACCCTTGATGCAGCAGACCAAGAGGCTCTCTCTTCAGTTGAATATGAAGAACCAGAAGACTCAAAGTACCGGTCTGGAACGATAAAGGAACAGCTGTCCCCAATTCCCCAACCTCTTCCTCTCCCATCACCTCAGGGTGCTGCTGCACTGAGGACTACAGGAAGTTTTAAGTCAGTGACTACTAGCGGCCCTCTCTATGCTTCTGGACCATTGCCACTGCCTCCTACAGGAGCACTGCCTGCTGGAACACTACCTACTGGAACACTACGGAACTTTTTATATGAAGAAATAGCATCAGCTTGTCACAATTTTTCTTCAGACCGATGCATGTCAGAAGGCCTTTCGTCTATTATTTACAAGGCTTCCTTTGGAGATGATTCATCAAGTTCGAAAAAATTTGAAGCTACTGTTACTCGCCTTCACCCATCCACTCAGGTAACTTATAAACATTCATTTTATTAGGATGTGGATTACAGTTTTCTCATGTTTTCTGGTCCCTGATTGCCTTATAATGGCTGATAATTGAACTTTAGAAACTACTTCCGATTGTGGGTGAATATTGAGATTTTCATCCATTTACAATGTATGAATGTACTCCGTAGCTGCTGTGCAATGTTCATGGTGTAGCAAGAATAAATTATGTTACCATAGCATAGGTAATTGAGGACATATGTAGCATCTCATGTTTTTGCAGTTTTTGTTATTCAAATTTTATTTCCTTTCTTCAAAGCAAGTGTTTCGCATTCATCTCCATTGATTTCTAAGCACATGTTTGCTTATATGTCTTGTGCTATAGAACAATGCAAACCTAATCATATTTAGCATTTTGCCTCTGCTTCTACACTTCAGATGGTTTGTGAAATAATCTCACTGTTTTTTTTCTTCTTTTTTAATTTATAATGTTTAGGGTTTAAAGGAGTTCATAAATGAGATCAACACCCTTGCATCTTTGCAACATCCAAACCTTTGTAAATTGCTTGGTTTCCATGCACGTGAGGGTTCAGAACAAAAAATGTTGGTCTACGAGAGGCTCTTTCATGGAAGTTTGGACCGGCTTTTGTATGGAAGATCAGACAAGCCCCCAATAGACTGGAATACAAGAATGAAAATTGCTTTATGTGCTGCACAAGGTCTTACTTTCTTGCATGAAGAAGGGCCTTTCCAGGTAATCAGAGCATTCATGTGTGTATACATTGATTGCAAGTTTTTCTTTATGCATCACTTTTTACACATTCACCAGAGTGTCAAACTGCTCATAATGTTTAGAAATTTTGAGCAACTCAACTTCTAAATAATAATGTCATTGCATGTATCCGTACATTTATGTGATGATTGAATTACCTTTCATATCTACAGGCAATGTACAATGAATTTTCAACTGCCAACATACAGATTGATAAAGATTTTAGTGCAAAGCTTTCAGGATATGGTTGTGTCGGCCATATTCCTGAGGCAGAGATCTCTAATAATTCCGTTGTAAGTTGAATGCTCCTTTTCAGATTAGTTCCAAGTCTTCAAATTTTGTATGTGGGCACTAATTTTATTTTGTGCTTTCGCTGTTCCCACAAACTTTCAATTTTAACATGATCTTTTAAATCTCTCAATTGAATCCCTTTCTTCTTATCATTGTCCAGGCAGTGGCAAATCTATCAGTAGAGACACTTGAAAGAGGAATGCTCACCCCAAAAAGCAATGTTTGGAGTTTCGGGATTGTGCTTCTTGAATTACTCACTGGTCGGAGGAATCTTGACAGCCGTCATCCCAAGGAAGAGAGGAATTTAGTTAAATGGAGCCGGCCTTTCCTAGCTGATGACTGTCGACTTTCACTAATCATGGATGCTCAGCTGAAGGGCCGCTTCCCAGCCAAAGCAGCTAGAGCTGTGGCAGACATTGCACAGAGATGCCTTCAGAAGGATCCATCAGAAAGACCCACAATGAGAACTGTTGTTGAGCATCTCAAGATCGTACAAGAAATGAAGTACTCAAGTAGGTTTCCTTTGCAAGAGCCAGCATTTGCTGGAAAACATATGTCAAGATCGCCCAGTCTTAACGGAATAGTAACCCCTGTGCCTCGGTTAAGTTTCTCTCCTTCGCCGCCATCAAGAGCCCGTCCATCCATTTCACCTACAAGACGACCTGCCCTACCTATGTCCCTTCCTCCACGTGCTTGTTCCTCCACCCTCACTCTGGAGGAGCTAGGCCGGCAGCAAAGCCGGAAATCATCATCAGCAGTTCCTAGGACTAGTGTTGAGGGATTTTGATTGTCTATAATGTGCTTTTTTTATTTTTTTATTTTTTTGTTGTGATTCAACACAATATATAGAAGATAAGATGTGGTTCCACCTTACCATCTCGCAAGATGGTCAAACAGAGAGGATGCCCTTTTGTAGATATAGTGCATGCCTGGTTTTCTGGGTTCATCTAGCTTCCGTTTACACTACTACGCAATTCAACCGGTTCAGTTTTTCTTTTGTAAAGCCTCATCGCTTTTTGTTTTTTCCTGGTCAAGAGCCTCATCGCTTTATGTACGTCAAACTTGTGTTTAGATAATATGTTTATAATGAATTAGGATATACTTACTTCCAGCTTCGTCAAATATACTTTTTGTTGTCCAATATGAAGGGATTCGAATTTTACATAGATTGCGTTGGGGAAGAGGATTTGAGAGAAAGGGTTTGAGCAACAAATGTACACAGCAAATAATTTAGTTCCATAAAAATTCACCCCAACTATTTTAATTTTTTGAACAGAGACCAATCACTTTATAATACAAGTTAATTTTATAATTTTTTCGCACATTCACACTCTCAGCTAAAAAAAAGTATCCCAAACCAAGGAAAACAAACATAAAAGTCTATAATTATACAAGAAATAAGTTGATAATTTTTTATATAAAAAGAAACAGGATTTTCATCATAGAGGGTCATCTTGGCCTTGATCCGGCCTTTCTTCACCGCCACTTTCCTGTTCTTGACATTGATTCTCATTATGTTGGTCTTCACTCTCATTAGTGGCTTGTGGCGGCACATGTGAAGTTGAGCTAGTTGCCTGTTGCTCAGACATCAAGCTGGTAAGACCATTATGTTTTAAATATGTCTCAAGAGGAAGGCTTGCTACTTGAACAAGAGACATCATACTCACATGGTTTGGCCCTGCTTGCAGCTCTCCTTCTCGGCCGGGATGGCAATTCAAGTCTAATATTCCCTTCCCAGTTTCAGCCACTTTGCTTTGGCTCTTGGAATCTGATTCGTTTGCAGACCTGGCCTCGTTGTCTGAAGGATCCACATGCGACGATACGTGCCTAGAAGTGCTGTCTACTTCTGCTTCATCCCTAGGGCCCCATGCATGCTGGTTTCTGTAGGCAATCTCTGCTTCTCGCTCTGATTGACGTTTCTTCTTGTTTATCATTAGGGTTTTAAAACGGCGTTTAACGGTATTGCACACATTGCATGTGCAGTTAGGCTTATGTTTGCCCTTCCCACTTGGGGGCTGAATGCACACAATGCATGAGCAGCCAGGACGATGCCTGGGATGTTTTGTTGTCGTAGCAACTGATGCAGTTCCTGGATCAGCCGCATTGTCTCCAAGGATTGCAGCATTGGCCAAAGCATCAAGGCCAGAAGATTCATGCTCCTGGGTTGGCCTATTGTCTGCCACCGTTCTCCTTTTCTTGAATTCTATAAAGCAAAAGATTAAGTTAATATAAATATTTCCTAATTGTATTTTTAAATCTATGAAAGATTGCAATTCCACAGGAGTCGGGAGACTCAGGACCATAACAGATTAGCAAACTAAGCAAATCAAAACATTGCATAAGTGGAGACACCTTGTGATAAAGTAAACTAAGCAGCAGATGTTATCTGGTCCTCAAACATTAAGAGAGACAAATAAGGTGGCAACGTACCCTTACTCATTCTGAGAAAACTTTCCAGTTCCCTCGGGGCTAATTCATCTGGTGCAGAGCATGAACGCCTGACAAGACAAAGTTAGAGACATGCGATACTTTTACTACAAGCACCTTCGTAGAAGAAACCTATTGCTAACCTGCTTTGATCCCAAGCATTGTCTGCACATGTCCACTTAGATGGAAGTAGAACATCAACTGGCAACCTTCGCCATTTAGAGCAACTATCACACTGTGCCCATTGCTCGTGTTCCCTAAAGAAGCGGAAATAGTCAATTGTATCAAAACAAGACAAATTGCACAAAGACAAAGGAGACAGTTTGCTCCTGGTACATTTCCACTAGACACGCATCTTTCTTAGAATAAAAAGAAAATACCATTTAAAATGGTGTATGGTTCCACAACAGTTGAACCAGTCATTCATGATTAACTTTACAAACTAAAATTATACAGAAGCAATATATACATATTAAATATAAAGCAAGTCTTACCCAGTTGAACGGACTATGAAAATACTCCTCTTTCCAAATACAGGAGGTTCCTAAATAACAGAAATTTAGGATTATTAGTGGTCACTTCCCTGACCAACAAAGTAATCTATAATTAGAAATAACTGCAAATAGAAGCAAAAACAATACATTGTCTAGTGACCAGGAAATTGATGTTTAAGAAAAAATTTCAATGACATCACTCACTTCATATTCTTCAAATTCAAGATCTTCAATCATGATAGTGCTTGGCTTGGCAGCTGGCGGTGGACGAAGCAAATCCTGAGCCTCTTCCCAAGTAAGCTTCAGCTCTAAAGCATCTTGGCTATCGATGAGCAATCTCTTACTCTTGGACCCAATATTTCTAGTTCTTTTCCTCTCAGGAACGAGTAATGATGGCAGCAGCATGCCTTCCCTTGTCCTCCCTTCTTGCTTCTCAGATTTATGCCAGCTAATATCACCACTAGCTGTAGTCAAGTGTTTGGACAGTGCATTTAGATGGGGATCCATGCTTCCCTTCAGTGACTGAAGAAGGCCAGGGTAACCACTTATTACAGGAAGGTTCTCAAAAACACCCGAAAAGAAAGTTTCACTTGAGTGAGCGCCATTGTGAATGGCAGTAAGATGGGTATCCTGTTTATTTTAATAATTTTCATATCAATAATACATTGTTCATTTTGCTAATATGAAAAATGAAAGAGGCCTTTACCTGCATTGCAACAGAATTTGATGCTTTCCGAAACCCCATAATAAGTTTTCCTTCAGGATCCATACGACTGAAAGTCACTGTGGCAAAATTAATAAAAAAGAACTGCATAAGAAGTAATGTAAAAAATATCTCCACTCAAAGTAGTGATTGCTAACTACCCTTCAAAAGAAAAAGGGCTTTGACAACAAACATGTATCCTTGTTAACAAATACACCATAATCAAGGGTTTACGAACCCATGCCATGCCATGTAGTGTAGTCCATGGTCCAAAATGGCCTTCCAGTGGACTGGAAAAAAAACCAGGAATGTGCGCATGCACACACACACACACACACACACACACACACACACACACAGATATGCTAAATAATGACTTAATAAATATAGTCGCTAAGAAGTACCAGTATCTCCAGCCTGCAACTGCATGGACTGTATGCAAGGGGTTACACCCTCCAAAACATACATCCTACTGTTATTATTAGGCCAAAATCTGAACTGAAACACCCATTCTTTTCCCTTCACGTCTTGAATCCGTAAAGGAAGCCCCTCGGGTTGAGAAATGGGAGGAAAATATGCCTGCACAGTGGTTCAGATTTGATCGAAACAAAGTCTTGTAAAGAAAAATATAGTAATGAATACAATCAAGATGATGGAGATTACCGCAAATATCAGTGAAATGTCGAGTTTAATAAACAGAAGAACAGAAAAAATAAAAAACTTACTTCAGCACATGCTTTAGGGAGTACCAAACGACCAATTCGACCAGCGTCACTGGCACTTAGCATCTTCTCAAACAAAGGTACAATTGTGGAATTTGAACTTGAAGACATCAAAGTTAAGGAAATCATTGTTTGAGGTAATGGATAATTATTAAAAATAAGAATCTCCAAACAGTTGATGTATAGTTCGGTCAAGAAGTAATTAACATGAGAACAAAACAATTTCATGGATACTCTCCAGATATTTGCTGTAATTCCTGGTCTGTAATCCTGGGCCAATAGCGGGGAAGAAGCTGATTCCGCCCCCGTCCTTCGGCAGGTGGCCTTGCAACACGTGCGTGTGAAGCAATTGTAGAATTTTCCTCCAAACCTGCACCAAGGGCCAATTTTGGGGGCTTTGGAAAAAGATTGCGAGACCTAGCTCCTGGTAAGAGCGGAGAGGATGTCTTACTGTGTTCCCTTTCATCAAACATGGCAGCAGGAACAGGATTTGCTTTTCCCAAAGGTGCACCAAGGGACATACTCAAATTTGTCTGCGGAAGTGAGTCATATATATCATTTATCCCTAAGTTTGCTTTGAAAACTTCTGCTTTGGGAGCTTCAGATGATCCATTGGATGCCAGATTAAAGTTTGATAAACATGTGCCTCCAATTTCCCCCACAGGAGGCGGAGTATCGTTATGTTTCATTTTCTGCAATAATCCATTTGCGTCATTGTTCTGAAGCTGAAGCAAGTTCCTAAACCCATTACAATCTTTATTATTTCCCAACTGAATAAGCTTCAAATTTTCAACATTAGTTCCATCCAATTGATTGTCTTGAGCAGTTGGCTGCAGCTCACTGATTTTCGATATTCCAAGTCCATCAGGCTTTTCATCACTTAAAATCTGTGTGAATAAGTTTCAAAATCATCATAAATAACTAAACTATAAGAGTACACTTCAGTATGCTTATGAAGTGTGATGACCAACAGTAATGTGATGATAGTGAACATCACAAGAAATTGGTGATATTGACCAAATTCAGACCATGGTACTAGTTCTTTAATGCTTTCTATATTACTCCTTCTAGCAAGAAAGATGTATGAACAACATCTTCCATCTTTTTGAGGTTAGGACAGCCATGCCTTAATAATCATTATAAATTTTCAAAATTTACCAATACAAACTGATCTTACAGGTTGAGGTTCTGAACTTTTTGCACATTTTATACACTTCACACCACCACCATCAAGAAGATCAAGCAGAAACATTGAAGCAATGCATCCACAATGGAGACGCTGCAGAGAACAAATTCTATTAGGTGCAAATGATTGGAGTGGAAGAGCCAAAGTAAGGGGAGGAGAGGTCTGGAAACCAAACACAAAATCCTTTCTTTGTTAGATATGCTCACCTTGCCACATAGTATGCACTCCCTCCAACCAGATTCTTTTGAGTGGAAAATATCACAAAAAATTGATTGCTCATATGCAGACCTAGAGTCAATACAAATTTCATATCACAACACAAGTCATAAGTATTTCATATCATGAAGCCATTTCAAATTTATACATAGAATATTTGCAGCTACTAATAAACAACACCAATAAGTGATCCGCACCCATAAAAATCTAGATTTTCTCTTTCTATTGGCCAAGATCCCACAACCTCATGCGTGGATGCAATGAAATCCTTCAAATGCTTGGAATAATCTCAACACAACATATACAGTTCTAGCCATAACTTCCCCCAAAACTCTTTAGTCGCTTTTGTAATGGTTAGCTCCATTTAATACAGTGGTAATGCGAAATTTTAATTACCACTTTTATAATAAGATTGAGTTGTATATGAAGTGTTATATTCCATTTTTCAAATGAATAATACAATTAGTTTGAAACAATACGGATGTAGGAGATAGAATAGAAAAATCAACAAATAAAATGCCAAAATAAACAAAGTAAAATCGGGAAAAAAAAAGAGAGGAAAAATTGAAAGAAAAAAAATTCCATGCAACGGCCAAAATTAGCATGTAGCCGTCAAAACTAGAGCAGAACGTCAAAATAGAAGACTATCCATTGAAACATCCAATACGCCGATGAATTTAAAAACAGAAAACTCAACCAAATCCAGAGCCAAAGAATTACATAAACATTATGTGCTAAAGCCAACTAATAAACAAGTTAGTGAATTAATTACCAGCACTTGAGACAGAGATTGGCGAATCCTCCAGATCGCAAGGCCCAACCTTTCTTCCAGTCGATCGAGCTCGAGGTCCCGCAAGCTGCGTTCGTGCAAGTGCGCGGCTCCATTTTCGCACTCAAATTCTGTAAATTTCAACAAATTTCAATCCAATCGGAAACTAATCCACATAAATCCCCAATCTAATCCTCATAATTTTGGAGAAAGCCAAAAAACACAAAATTGACCAACTAAAAGGTCCAAATCAGCAACACTACGAACAGAGAGACATAAAAGAGAAGGAAACAAACCTCGAGCTCACAGCTTACACCGAAACCAGAACCAGAACTAGTTCATTCGAGCAAACACGAGTAAAAAGAAGGGGCGGCCAGTCTGCTACCACTCCGACTTTTCAATCAGAGAGCGATTGAACACCGATTTCGTGAGAAACGAGGCGATGAAATGCTTGAAGTCCAATTTCGGCGAGCTGAGAGCTGGATCGGCGGTTGTTGTTAATTTCGGGAGGAGGAGACGTGTGCATGCAAAGTTGAAAATTGAAAGAAAATGCACAAAATGCATGCACGATGGATGATGCTTCAAGACTCGGCCAACTCGCCCACCTCTCTTTTGCTTACTAATTCTTCTTCAAATTAAAGAAAAAACAAAAATATATATACGTCCGAATCACTAACGTGGTTTAGGTCGGGTTAGTCGGACAGTGAGTTTGCCCTTTTGCACTAAGTTTGATTACTATTTTTCTTCAATTATATTAATTTAGGCTATTTAACTTATCATTTGTATCAAAATATATTTACGAATTTAAATTTCATAGAAGGAAAAAAAAATCAAATAACTTTACTCTGTGAGAGAGCTGAAATAGAAGAAAAATAAATAAAAGACTTCGGAGAAAATTAAAATACCTTTGAAATAGACGGCGGCAGGATAGCACCGTAAATGCGCCACTACGGAGCTGTTCTGTCCAATCGCCTATTTCGCATGCAATACAGAATCAGTCAGGCGAATTTACGGAAAGCTCACTCTCGCGCTACTTATTTACGGTTCTACCGGGAAGCTGAGGTCGTGTGCTTTAGAGGCTTGCGGATCTTTGGTCTTCATGGAGTCTCCGCACCGTTAAAGCGCTTGGAGTTGCACGATGGAAATGGTCGAACGAATCGAAGCCGTCGGATTGTTTTTGGATTTATGACGTCATAATAGTGGGTGGTGATGTTAGGTGGCCTGGGAATGTGGGCACCTACCGAGGGGTGAAAGAGAAAGCGCAACGCACGCGCTGGCCGAAGACAGAAGGGTGGAGCCCACGGAATTGTGAAACGGAAGACATGGCAGGTTGGCTTGCATTGCTGCTGCACGTGTTGGGGATGTCACATTGGTTTGGACTTATAAAAAGACAAAAGAGTGGGACAGTGTATAGGAGTTGGACTAATTAATCTTATATGTTATGATTAATACCATGAATTATTAACACGTAATTGCATCATTATAAAAGAATACGAGACTAATCAACAACCACCACCATTAATATGTATTGGTTGATGAGATTTTCTTTTTCTACGAAAGGATGGCTATGGGGCACAAAGTGACTATCAGTTGGGAATGCATTATAAGCCAAAACTATAAATAAATATGATACTAATAAAAAATATTAATTAATATTAATTGGTGGTTATCTTTCTCTATAGAGAATTGTCAAGTACAGTTACTTACCAATGCAGCTATATATTTTGAAAGTGAATAATACAACAATTCAAAAGGCATACGTTTTTATTTTTTTATTTTTTTATTTTTTTATTTTTTTATTTTTTTTTGGTCTGAACGTTTTTATTTTTTTAGTTTAAGACAATAAAGTTAAATTGTGATGACGATTGTCAGTTGATAGTCCATGAGAATTACAATCACACATGCATAACCGTTACCTAGAAAAATTAGGAAAACTACTTCAAAAAGCCAAATTAGTGAGGAATGTAAAAAAGATCTAATATATATCTTTCTATGTATCTCTCTTCTCATGGGTTCTCATGTTATAGTCACATAAGAAGAGACACATAAAATAAAGTATATATACCCGTTACATGCAAATTATCTTGTGAAAAAAGAGATAAATATCATAAGTTCGTGTTCATCCAATTTATAAGATTAACTAGTGTAGTGGTTTGGAGTGATTACTCCCCCATGCAAAGTTCTGGATTCGAGTTTTAGCATCCGTATTATGTGTGATAATTTAGTATATTATTGCCCATTTAAAATAGGAAAGCGAATCCCTGAAAAAAAAGTATTTGAGAGTTTCAAGACCTAAAGACCGAGGCCCAAAGCATATAATGGACCAAGGAAAACGAGCGAAGAGAGGGAAAGTGAGGCCCAAGCCAAACACAAGGAGCGAGGCAAAAGACTCTCAGACACCGTAGTCCTTATCTAAGCAAAAACCTCTGGCGCATTGTCATGGCCCTCTAAATTTCCGGGAAAACACACACGAATACTGAGACACCTTTGCTTTATCGAAACAGCCATAGCCATGGCGGGAATGGCAACATCCTTCAATGTCTCATCAGCTTCCTCCATCCTCAGCCGTCCATCACAGCTATCATCACTTTCATTCTCATCCAAGCCGTTCTTTCTGCCAATGCGGAGTTCTGCCCGAACGCCCCTACGTCTCAGATGTCCCAGTAAGCTCCTTTGACTCTCTCACTCTTTGATTTTTCTTCTTTTACTGATTTTAATTCGTAAAGTTTTGGTTTTTGGGTTAGTGAAGTGATGTTGGGTTGTGAAAATTTCAGGGATAATGGCGTTTTCTAGCAACGATATCAAAGTGGGTTCCAACATTGAAGTTGATGGAGCTCCTTGGCGAGTTATAGGTACCTATATCATCTTCTTCCTCCTCATTTGTTTTTTGTATTCGTTTTAGTTTAAGCCGAAAAATGTTAAGACTTTTTGGTTATTGGGTATATTACATATTGAGTTTTTCTGGTATATTGTTCACATTAAATAGAAATCTTCATTTCTGGGACCCCTGTCTCTGTATCATATTGTATCTAATTGCTGAAGCAATAATTTTTATTCTTTTTATAACTACTATTTTTAGTATTACTCACATGACATTTGTGTTTCTTTGCTGGTAATCTTACGATAGATGTACTCTAGGGAGCCTGTATCTTTAAGTTGGTTTATGAGGCCCCCATGGGAGATTTGGAATTTCATGGTATCATGATGTGTGTGTGTAATTAGAAAAAATCAAAAGCCTTTTGAACACTATGATGCTAATTTGAGACTTTTGGTATGTCAAAGAGTTTCTAGGGATGTTTAAGTTGGTTATAGGTGTACCCCATTGTAAGCTGCCTCTATATCTGAATTGTCTTGTTTTCATATGTTCTAATATTCCCGGGAGGAATCTTTTCATTTGGTCAGGCAAACAACTATTTTATTTGTATAAGTCATAAGTCAATGGAAGCTTATTAGTTTTCTATCTGTTGGCCTTCTGTAGAATTTCTTCATGTGAAACCTGGGAAAGGGGCTGCATTTGTAAGGACCAAGATGCGCAATTATATATCAGGAAATACTGTTGAGAAAACATTTCGAGCGGGCAGCACGGTAATGTTCATTGATTTCATTGATCCATCATTAATTTCTGTTTTCAAATGTATATAAAGTTTAATGCAATTGTTAGTTGCTAACAAGTAAACAAGTCAACTGAATATGTAGCATATGACATAATTTATTTAGTTTTTGATGGTTTACTGTGTTTCTAATAAAAGATACTCCATCTGGATTATTTTTCACAAACCTTGTTAAGGAATGAGTCATATATTTATACAAATATCTTGTATCCAAGGTATGCTTCAAAATGTTATGTTGTAAGTATTATGTTCATAATGCCACCAGACCTCCTCCCCAGGCTGAGGTCATCACCTTTCGGCGAATCTTTCTGTGAGACCAGATATGTTATGTATATTCATGTTACATGACACAAATTTTTCAACAGTAGATATCATCAACAGATACCAAGTGCAATGGTCAGTCATGTTTAGATGTCTGTACAGTACAGTGACATATATACATTCTCACATTTGATTGTTTTTCCAGATTAATGAGGCAAATATATACAAGGAAACAAAGCAATTCACATACAAAGACGGTCCCCAGTTTGTCTTCATGGACTTGGTATTCTTCAGTAGAGTTTTTACTTGCAAAATTAAAATATGATATTCATTCGTATGAAGTTATGGACTTTAAGTTATTCACTTTAGTCTTTAGGACACCTGGGATCTATTCCTGTTCTCAGGGAAGCTAGCTGATGCTGTTATCTTTATAAGATAGTGATCGCTATCTTTATTTTTCTATCTCAAATAGGTTTTTTCTTTCGCTTGTCTCAGACTACCTATGAAGAAACACGTGTAAATGAATCAAGTATCGGGGACAAAACAAAATGGCTGAAGGAGGGAATGGACTGCAATTTGCTTCTTTGGAATGATAGAGTACTTTTCTTATTCTCTTTTAAGCAATCCATTTTTTCTCAAGCAATTAAATCCCACTTTTTGCTGCAAAGTTCATTATGCACATGATCAATTGTGCCCAAGATGGTTCTTTTTATCCAAGAATAATTGTCCCAGACGGAGCTCTTGGGCACTACCTAAAGAACACAGAGCAGTCTCTCGAGCAATGTTTTGATAGTCATTGACTTTTTATGTTAGTACGTCTTAGATTCATGGTGAGATGCATATATTTGTTTGTGTGAGTGGCATCAACAAAGAAAACATAGATAATGGTGGTGGTTTGTATTATTACTATGGCCTTTTGAAAAGTAATCTTCTTTTTGTGGTTTACTTGTAGCTTATCGATGTTGACATCCCCATCACGGTGAAACTGACTGTGGTTGATGTTGATCCTGGACTTAAAGGTGACACAGCTCAAGGTAATGCAGTTTGTCTCTCACAATTTTCAAGGACCAAATTTAGTATGTTATTGGTGTAAATACCCATCAGTCCATGACTTGTTTGGGGACCTGAAGGCTGGTAAGATGCCAGCAGACAAAAATGCTATTACAAGGTTAGGCTGAGTAGATGAGCTGATTAATCAGCTCTCAGGTGCAGAATGGGCGCCTGATTGATTTCTTGGGTTTTAGAAGTGATAAGCTCCTGTCTATAACTAAACGTCGCAGTTCCTTGTTATCAACAATCAAAGAGGCAGCATCTTCTAACTGAACTTTGCTCGCAGGTGGATCAAAGCCAGCGACTCTCGACACCGGTGCTATTGTCAATGTCCCACTCTTTGTACATATAGGTGATGAAATAATGGTGGATACCAGAACTGGGCAATACATGAATCGCGCATAAGTTTTGACGCAGAGATTTCTCAACACCGGCCAATAAAATTTTGTATTGTATTTTTGTTTACCAGGCAGAAACTTTATTAAATTTGATGCTAGAGCATAAATATGTTATATCTGTACATCAAGTTAGTGGAAGGTTTGTAAACCTTTAAACTCCTGCTGTAAGTGATTGGCTTATTTGAAAAATGAAAATAGCTTAGATGAAGGCTGAGGATGAGCAATTTTTTTGTCATTGTTGAGGTTTTGTATTAGGAATTACACCTCTCTTCACTGCTGCGCCATATACACTACAACCGCCAAGGAAACTGCCCCGCCGATTCAATCCATGAATCAAAGGGTTATAAGATATTCCATTGGTTCCTCTACCACCTTCATACATGATGCTCAATACTAACAGTGCCTCAGTCACCTTTCCCTCAACACAAAGGGTTTTAATTACATTGTTAAAGGTGATAATCCATGGTGAGTAGCCCATTCCAATCATCTCCTGCAAACAGACCACAGCTGCATCCATCTTCTTTTCCATACAAAGAGTTTGGATCATCAAGCCATATGTACTAGCGTCTATGCCCAAAACCTCATTCTGCATTTTCTCAAACACTTCATGTGCATCTTCCAAGAGGTCTTTTTCCTTCCTCGACCTCCTACATAACCCTCTAACAAGATTGTTCATCAATCTCCCATCTACTTCAACCCCATTTTCAACCATCTCCTTATAAACCCTAAGAGCATTACGAGTTTTACCCCATTTTAACAATCCATGCAACAAAGTGCTGTAAGTAATACAATCAGGGTTGCAGTTTCTCTCTTTCATCTGCTTTAACACATTAAGTCCCTCCATTGGCCTGCCTTCCTTGCAATACCCATTAAACAGAGTGTTGAAAGTGACCACATCTGGTGTCAACCCCATTTCCACAGCTTCATCAAGCAATTCCATTGCCTCATCTGAGCGACCCACTTTACAAAAACCATCCATAACAGCTGTGAATGTGTAAATGTCAGGTTTTATGGCATCTTTCTTGATTCTCATCAACATTTCATATGCATCCTCCACCCTCCCAACATAGCACAACCCCTTCAACAAGCAATTGTATATCTGAACAGTTGGCTTGCACCCAATTCTACCCATGACCTCCAAAACCTCCAAAGCTCTCTGCAACCTACCTCTTTTGCACAATGAATTTATCAGAACAGTGATTGTTGCAGCATTAGGGTAAAACCCATTTTCAACCATATGGACTAAAACCCTTATGGCTTCATCCAGATCATTTTTCTCGCAGTAACACCTTATCATGATGGAAAATGTCAAAGAATCTGGCACTAACCCGTAAGCTGATACTTCATTAAACAGGCTCAAAGCAATGTCAGGCTCTTTTGCTATGACTAAAGCCATGAGCAGAGCGTTGAATTCAGATACGGTCTGAAAGCAACCATCTTGTTCAAAGATACCAAGGATTACACTCGTCTCTCTAAAGGGCAAAGCTTTAATTCTATCAATAAATCTCTGTACCTGCAATCTACTAGCTATGCTATCAAAATCTAGCTTTGGTTCTTCGATACTGGACTGCAAGCCATAATCTTTTGGGTATGACTGGTGGGTTTTGTCAGCAAGACTGACAACATTCAACGGTGTGGTTCCAGTGGGATTTGTAGCAGAGCATGAAAGTGCTGCAAAGACAAGTAGCTTACCATGTTGGGTTCTTTTGTTGTGAGTTCTACATAAAGGAGATGGAGATGGAGAGGGAGACTGAACAAGTGTGAAGGGTGTAGGATATGAAGAAGGCATCAGGTAGAGGTCCATGGATCACCTGTGGAGTTCTATCCAGCTTGGTACAGAGGAAAAAAAAATCTTTGATTAGATTTTGGGTAAAACGATAACAAATACAGTGTCGTATGTTGGGGCAAGGCAGGCACTTTAACGACATCAGCCTGCAGCTTTTAAATTTTCATTTTGGGATTTGTCACCATTCTCTAATAGGGAAGTCGTTAGATTGGATTGTGTTCGTGTTCAATGCGAATTGACACTGTCCATTTTGTGTAGGGAGGGTGTAGTCTATGTGTATTCATGATCTGTAAAATGTGCATACAAGCACTTACAAAAGGAATTAAAAACATAGAACGAAACAAAAGTAAATAAATATTACTAACTATTTCTCAAATGTTGTGCAAACTTCAAAGGCGCATAGATCTACTAAATGTCTTCCAAAACCTGGGGTCTTTTGCATCTGGGATTTCCTTCTTTTTTGCACTCATTCTGCTTAGAATGGGCTTGATCATCTTCTTCAGAACCTTGCTGAAGCCTGAGCCACGCCTTTTCTTGGTAACCAAAGGTGGCGGTGGTGGTTCTGATTCTGATGGAGCCTGACAGATTAAAAGAGGTTGCTGGGACCGAATTTGGGTTGGCTCAGAGAGACTCCGCCTCAGCATGGCTTGGTTCAGCTTTAACTCAACAGAGAGCCTCTCAAAATGGTCAAGCAGAGAGCTTTTGTCATCCCCAAAGGTCCTCAAGATCGCTTGCTTATTCACTTCTGCTTGGCCCATTGCCTTCTTTGTCTTCACCATTTGCATTGTGCCATTGCCTCACATGTTTATATCAAACAGAGGCTTAAAGGGTTGAATGTTTCCTTTTTCAATGTGGCTTGAGCTAAGACTGAGAAGCCAAGCTGATGGATGATGAACAAATTAAGCAAGCAAGGAATATATATCACCAACATGGAAACTGAAAAGACTATGTAATCTTGACAGGTTTCGTAGAAATGAATGGAGATATTGGTTTTTGCAATCATCATATAGCACATTAATCGAGGAAACAATTGTGTATTACACTACGGTCAAATAAAGACTTGCTATGATAGGTTAATTAGTTCGAACTTAAAATCTCTTTTAATTTTGGAAAAGGAGATATTGAGATACCGTTAAATTATATAATATTATGTTAAAATTGAAATCTATTATAAGAGGCAACTCTAAAAAGTTAAAACCATGCATGAGGAAGACTGCGATTGAATACCTAAGCCAAAGCCGTGAGTTTAGCAGCCAAACTGGACTCTGGATACACTTTATTCTTTCTTGCATGAAAGGAATTATGTTTTATTCCATATTTATATCAGCAGTACTCTTTTTCAGTGCTGAAGGCTTAATTAGCACAAAAGTAATTAAGATTCATCTGCATTTGCTTTTTTTCTTTATTTGTGTTATTCTAGAGATTATATTCTAACTAGTAAAAGACATCTTCAATGTGGCTAGATTTGCTTTGAATTGTACTAAGTCATACTTCTGGGAGGAAGTGCTAGTTGGCTTACCTCGTACCTTCAGGATGATGTTGCAAGGTTACAAAGTCCTTGTGAATTGGATGACTTGTGCCACATGGAATGTGCCTAGGCAGTAAGTAAAACTTCCCTTCTTCACAATTTAGTAGAGTTTTTGCTAGGGGGTTAACATCGACGTGCACATGAGTGACTGTCGGCCGTCAATGATTACTGTGAAGTTCACATCCATGATGGTTAACAGTCATCCACACACCATGGCTGAGCGGCTCTCCTTGTGATTATAAATCTAGTTTCAAAAAAATTAAGTTTCCAATATACAGAGTTTACAAACCAGCTTTCCAGGTGAAGGCCGTCATTTCTCCAAAGTTCAATACTAGGACTTGGCCCAAAATGATATCCATACAAAGACGGCCCATGCATCCATGCACACCGTTTTGATAGGTTTTTTAAAATTATATTTATTTATGTAATGATTTTTAATTTGGGAAAATAAGATCGTATCAGAAGTAACTGGCTACGTGTTCCAACTGTCCAATTGATGTCTGGACTCTCTGTAGAGCTGACTTCTATAGCAGCCTAGCGTCAAATCTCTGAAGAACACAGATTCCAATCTAAAACCCTAGATTATCTCAATTCAATCCTAAACCCTCAAATCCCAATCCTTCCACGATTCCAATTCACTTGAAACTTCTAACCCATCTCTCCGTTTCCAGCTCATTGAAGATCCAATTGCGCAGATTTGATCTTAATGTATAAAGGCTGCAACTTTATCCACAAAATGGGATTAATTGCTAGGGTTTTGGCGTGGAGAACCTAAATCCGATCTGAAAAGGAGCGTCGAAGTCTCAATTCAATGGATAGAAATGGTTTTCTGACAGTGTTCTTATTTATCTCCATTGTTGCGGAGGCTTCCAATGCTTCTTTGCTCTCCAAGCATAGAATTTTGATTGGTGAGCCTCAAAACAACAGTTCGACAGTACCAGTAACTCTCTTTTCCCTCTCTTAGAGTCTAAATTACTTGTTTTTAGGTCAAAAATCGGTTTGGTTTATTTATTTTCATAAATTTTAGGGCAAGGATTCTCCGGTGCCAAGTCCTCCTCCGCCTCCTCCGCCTCCTCCGTCTCCTCCCCCTCCAGTTTCAAGTTCTGGTGGCAATAGGTCTGTTCCTAAGGCGGATGATGATCCAAGTAGGAACAAAACGGACTCTCTGCCACCCGCCAAGACTCCGAAAGCGGATCCAGGTCCAAGGGGTTTGAATAATAATACTAAAACGGATGAAGGGAAGGATCCGAATAAAGAAAAGAAGGATCCAAATCCGACGCCTGACAAGGAATCCAAAGAGGATCCAAACCCGGTTCCTGCTACGACACCGAAACAGGATCCGAATTCAAAGCAGTTGAAAGATGAACCGAATTCGGCGAGTGCACCTCCTGAAGGTGGTAAGGTAAAGAATAAGGAGGACTCGCCTGAAGGTGGTAAGGTAAAGAATAAGGAAGACTCCCCTGAAGGTGGTAAGGTAAAGAGTAAGGAGATAGAGAAGAAGGAGAAGAAAGATAATGTGAACAATTCGCAGAATGCGGATAGGGAAAGCTGCGATGGGATAATCAAAACATGCAAGGTCAAGGATGTGGTGGTTGCTTGCATTAAGAGCTTTGATAGTGGTAATTCACATAACTGTTGGTACCTTTTTCCTGACCGTCGATTATAATCGGTTTTCGTGATAATGTGCATTGAGGTTGAAAAGTTGTGTTTGTTTAGAGTGATTATGTGAAAAATGTTTTTACAAAATTAGGATGCTGAGATTGAATTAAAAGATGATTTTTTTTTTTTTTGCATTGTGTTTTGCTTGATTGCATGCATACTACATTGGAATGCCTGATGGCAATTTTCGTGGTGTGTATTTGTGCTATCGCTAGAACTGATATTAGGTTGTCATTAGTATCAATGGTATGACTTATGCATTTGGTGTTTAGACTTATTCATTACAAGTTATATATGTATAATTGCATAGAAACTTGGTTTGTTCTACAACATAAGGCGTGATAGCAAGGCTTTTCCTCATGATAATTAAGTTTATAAGCTTGTATATGACACGTCAAAATAAAACACGGACGCATCTACAATTTGGATTGGTAGATGAATGCCCTTGAGTTGTAGGCCTCTACGTTCATAAGAATAGTTTGACATTATCTGAGGATTTTCTCTTGGATAAAGGTAAAGTGTATAAAACGTATTAACCAAAAATTAAATGCTTAAAGGCGCCCAGCTGTGCCAATTACTTCTCAGAATTGCTTTGATGTCATAGTCACATCTCCTGCAATCTTGCAGACAGTTTCTGGAACACATATAATGAACACAATTGCTGATGTTGCTTAAATTCTGGCTAATGTAGTTTGATGATTATGAAGAGCAGTATTAGACTCAACTTCATTAGTGTCTAAGATTAAGATGATCATAAGCTATGTATATTTTGTGATCGAGATGTTCTCTGTGGTTTACATGAGTAAGTGGAGATGTTAAATTGCGTTATGTGCCTAGTGAAATTACATCCAGTATCCACTGCTTTACTATACATTTTGTTTATTAAAGCAGTGACTGCAGAGTGCTGAACATAAATCAATACCATTTGACCTCATAATAAAATCACTCATTTTATTTTATTTTCCCATGTTGCAGGGTCCAAAGAAGTGGTCATTCTGGTCCAAAACGTTGGAGACAGCATTTTGAAGGCAAAGGTTTCTACAGAAAATACCAAGATGGACCTAAAGATTGCCGAACACCAAAATGAGAAGGTAAAGTTGATAAGGAAATTCTACTACAATGTGCATAGCATAAGCATAGAAGCTTTTCAGTGCTGGATGACAAATGCATGTCCAGTGGTGAAATTGCAATGCTCACAGGAGAGTTCCTTATCATAACTCTGCTACTTTGTTGTTGTTTTCCTGATTGGTTGTTTTCGGTAGTGATTAGAAGTTATAGCTTTTTATATCTTAAGAAAAGGGCATTGTTGGCATGATTAATAAGAATCCATTTGGTAGGCTGTTTTTTGGCTAAAGAAAATTAAAGCGAGAGTTGAGAGAGAAGAAATGAAACATAGAATGGCTTTCTAAAATGAAAACTAAAAACTATTTTAGATGGTTTTTAGTTTTAATTCTCTTCTCCCTCACTGGACAATGAAAAAAAGGTTTATTCCCCCTCTCTTCACCTCTCTGTCTTTCCCCCCTCTAAAATGTTGGGAATATAGTAGAAATTAAAATCATGGCTGAGATATGCAGAAGGGAGGAAGGTGTATGAGAAGGGACATTGAATCTTCCCTACTGCTTCCTGTAGGGGCTCATTATTTGCATAACCTTACTACAATGCGTTAACCTGCTTCCTGTAGGGGCTCATTATTTGCTGGCATGGATGAACCATGAAATTATACTTGTGGTTTTCTGTTACTGTTTTGTGGGGCTTACATTTGCAATTTTTCTAAAAGCAAAACCACAATGTTTATTTGTTTGCCTTTTCAGGTCAATATATCACTTGATATTGATAAAAGCACCAAAATAACTCTAAATACTGGAAACAGAGAATGTGAGCTTCATATGGACCCTCCAGTATCTGATGGAAATTTTTTCCTGCGTCTTCCTTCTTATGAGAAGGTAGTGACCCCAATCAATGGTGCTTACTTCTTGATTGTTACAGTGCTAATTTTTGGAGGGATGTGGGCTTTCTGCAAGGTTAGGAAGAGGAAACAGCGTACTGGAGGTGGAGTTCCATATCAGGAACTTGAAATGGGATTGCCAGAATCTGTTTCGGCAACTGCTGTAGAAACGGCTGAAGGCTGGGATCAGGGTTGGGATGATGATTGGGATGGAGATAATGCAGTGAAGTCACCAGGGGCGCATCTTGTGGGAAGCATCTCGGCGAATGGCCTTACTTCTAGGTCTGCAAACAAAGATGGGTGGGAAAATGATTGGGATGATTAGTTAGTTTAAAACAGCCAAAAAGGGGCCCAGAATAGAGTTTGCCCAAACAGATGGAGGAAGAGAAAATGGGAAAGAAGATAAAGAAGGATTGGGTACACAACAAATAGGAAAATCTGAGATACAAAATGAAACCATTTTCGACTATGGTTTTTGTGTAATAGGGAGATCCCATAAAATAGGTCTGTATAAGTCATTCATTTTTACTGTAATTGCAAGAGGTAATATATTTTTGGCCAAACTACCCTCTTTGCTCCACTTGGTTCGATTTCTTCAATTCAAATTGCACAATGTTAACCTTGCATTTTTTTTTTCTTCTTAATTGTACTTCTTATCCTTTCTTAGAATTCTGTAAACTAGTACATTGCTAAGACAAAGAACATTTACATAAGTAGCATGTGATCACCGAGCCCCTTATTGGCAGTGACTCTTTCTTATTAGCTATAGCAATTCAAAAAATGAAGTTCAGCTAGGAAACTTCATGTGAAATGGAGACTCTGTTCAAGTTATACTGGAACCTTTTTCGAGGATCAACAAAATAAAAGATCATATTGTTGCACAATGAAAGTTCAAAGTAGGCATTGTTCGAGTTGAAGTAAAACCAACTCAGGCAAGTTCTTGTAAGATAAAGCACCAAAGCTATGCCTTATATCATACCTCCTCTGCCTGCAATGCTCCAAATTTGTGCACTGCGAGAAGCAAAATGTATGGAGGTAGGTAGCTCCAAAAACCCAATTGAAAATGAGTTGCCTTTGCATTTTGCTTCCCATGTTCAGGTTGGTAAATTTTGTACTGCTCCCCAAGCTGGGACCCAACATGAGAAACAAAAGGCATTGGTGGTGCCTGTCACTCAATTTGAAATAAAAACACCGCACAGCATACAGATATGGTATGTTTTTCACCTTTTTGTTAGCAGGTCAGGTCCATGAAAATGGTGTCAGATCACAGACGTCCCTATCCAAACCAAAGTTACCAATTTGTAGCGCATGCAGACTTTTATTTCACTGTAAATCACAGATTCTTGCACAGTTTCAATGTAAATCACACATTCTCTGGAACCCAAGTACACCGCTGCATTATTTTATATTTCTGAGTCACAGTGCACTAAAGATAAGATAGCATATAAAAGTATACACAAATCAACTTACTTGGGAGACATTGATTCTGTGTAAATACAGTGTTTTTTTTTAAGTAAAAGAATTGCTTGTGTCCTGTTGGCCCCGACAAGACTTCTTCAAAATGGCCTCACCATTGAGGTCCTTAGTGGAAGCGTGGTGGGTCTATGTATCATTCTGTTTCTCGTTAAAAAGCAGACAAAATAATCAAAGGCAAAAACTTTCTGGTCCTAAAATGCATCGATTTCCAAGGTGGTCTTTTTTTTCTGAGTCTCCACCTTAATCAACTGGTTCAGATTTGGTTGGTTCGTATGTATATGTTGCGTGACTATAAATCAAAAAGCTCTTTTATTGTAATTTGCAGGACATGGCATGATTGCCATGCACTGCATTATAATCACTGTTGGAAAAAGCTTTGTAAGTGGCTTTGAGGAGCTCCATGTGAGGTGCTTTGATGATGTCCACAGCCGTTTGATTAGGTTCCCCTCGGGTCCAGAACCCTTTGATTAAACAAAGCTTCACATCTAAGGGATTAATTATTGACCATACTTGCAGGAAGAAACAGAGCTTTTGGAATTATGATAAAGAACACAATTGTATTGATTAGGGTCAGTGGAGTACGCATAAATATGCACATGATGGTGTTTGATTTTAAATGCCAAAGTTATTATTATCCATGTTTCGCCTAATGTGCAAGAAATTCTTTAACTCAAGTAAAACTTATTGAAATTAAGCAGAGTTGTAGTATAAATAAAGCAACATGGCATGGGCAACAGAAAAGTGTAACTAAAGCAAGAGGGTGTTGCTCTTTTAGATAGCTTATATTCTAATCTTACTTTTTAAAAAAAAATACAAGCAATATTGGGGGATGGGAGTTTCCTCACACACAATATCGAGGTGTTATGAGTTTCGAACATGAGAACATTGATATGCAAGTTAAGACCCTTTTTCACGGGTTGCAAGCAATATTTTAATCTTACTACTATTATGGTTATTGTATTCTCTTCTCTTGTTTGAGGCTCTATTTGGCCTTTGAATTGAACCCTTGAGGCATCACTTAGGATCAGAGGTAGGTGAACAGGAATCAAGTGCATTGCTGGGTTATTAATATTTGTATTGTATCTTAAGATTTTGAGTCATTGTGGGGTATACTGAGAGATCTTGAATCTAAACACCATTCAAATTGTCCCATTTCAAACCGGTGAAAAGCAATCCGGCACCATACAAGTGCTATAGAATTCAACAGGCAAAAAAGTACAGACAAAAATACAATACTCTTAAAAGGATTGAAAGACATGGAAATGGACCTCCAACACTATATTCTTTTTTTCTTTTGCTTGAACCAAACCGGATTGTTCTTCACCGGAACATATGAACCTGTTACTTTTCTTAATCTGTAAACTAAATTTACTCTAATTCCTCCTGGACTTCTGAAGGGCATTGGATGAGTTCTAAAATGTTGATTACTTCATTCATGTCCGGGCGATTCGATGGCACTTGAGATGCACATATCAAACCCAGCTTGACCACTGGAATTGCCTCATCTGCTGGAAAATTACCCAGGAGCTTTTGGTCAAGGCATTCCTCTACCCTGCCTTCCTCCAGTGCTCCCCTCACCATGTCACAAAGTACCACCACATCATCCTCCATATATTCCACAGGCCGCTTCCCTGTCACCACCTCCAAAACCAAGATTCCGAACCCATACACATCACATTTCTCAGTAATCTTAACCGTTTGACATGCAAACTCAGGCGCCATGTAGCCAAGTGCACTTTGGATTTTGCTGCTTAAGATGCACCGGTCTAACGTTGGCAACAGCCTTGCCAGGCCAAAGTCTCCTACCTTTGGAGCACCAGAGCTGTCTATCAAAACGTTAGTTGATTTCAAATTGTAGTGAATTATGTTTATTTTGTGCAAATGAGCCAAACCCTTTGCCATCCCTAGAATTATGTTGAACCTCTGTCGCCAAGTGAGGCAGCTTTTTCCAAGTCCATCATGCAGATTCTTATACAGACTCCCGCAAGTTATATACTCGTATATGAGGAGCTGCAACGACGGAGTCCAGTAATATCCTTCAAGTGCCACAAGATTATGGTGCCTGATCTTTCCAATTCCTTTAACTTCTCTCTCAAAATCTTCTTGGGACTTGATCAAACTTGAGACCGTTAGCTTTTTTATTGCAACTGAACGCCCATCTCTAAGGACTGTTCTGTACACTACTCCAAACCCACCACGACCAAGTTCACAGTCCTTGTTGAGCAAGGCTTGGGTCCCGGCACCAAAGTCAGCATCACCAGAAAACATGACAAGCTTGCCGTAGTTTGGATCAGTAGTAGGGGAACAACTATAATCTTCCCCACCAGATAACTCAAGAGGAGCAGCAGAACGTGATACTGAAGACCGCGCATGGATATTGAGGACGGTAACAGCTATGACACCAATGGCAATGAATGCAGCTGCGCCTATAGCAACGAGAGCTGATATGCTGAATATGATCTTGTGACCATGAGTTGGTGAGGAAGAACTGCCGATGGGGTTGGAAGAATTTGGGTTGAGGACAATGGGTTTGGGGTGGACGGAAGTGCAGGAACGGTTAACAACAGATCCGCATATGGATGGATTGCCTGAGACAGATGAGGGTGAGATAGTGTTGAAGAAGCCCCCTAAGGGTAGGTCACCCTGAAGGTGGTTATGGGAGACATTGAAGTAGAGGAGGTGGGAAAGATTTGTCAGCTCTTTTGGTAAGCTTCCAGAGAATTTGTTGAAAGACAAGTCTACATATTGAAGATTGGTAAGGTTTGCAACGGATGCAGGAATAGGTCCAGTTAGGTTGTTCTGGGACAGCATCCTGTATAATTGGAGCACATAAAAGAAAAACAATTCAGAACAATGTAACCTTCATATCATATACTTGTAAATGAATTAAAATAAAAACAACACTGCTATTATATTTACTACCAAAACAAACAGAAAAATGAATGGGTTGACCAAGTTAATATTATTTATGTCCAAGAAATTACAGGAGTGTGCTAAATGATAACTGATCGAAAGATTTTAATTTCATCAATCAAAATGGATCTTCCCCACCCTTGTTCAATCAAAATGCCATTATACACTTGATGAAAAAAACACATTGGAAAAACAGCTTCAGTCTAGCTACCTCAAGTTATAAATTTTATTAGAGAAATTAAGAACTTTCTAATGATTAAGTCAGATGTTGGCTTTCTATTTGTTGTAAATCGTATGTAAAGGAAGAGAACTACTAAAGGAGATAAACAGAATAAGAAAACTTACAGAGATGTTAGAGATGAACACTTCACAATCTGAGATGGAATTTTCCCAGTTAGAAAGTTCTTCTGCAGCCTTAGTTCCTTGAGTGAGACTACCCCTCCAATTTCAGAAGGAATGCTTCCATTTAGTCGATTGTCACTCAAGTCAACAACAGATGCTGTCTTTAATTTACCTATACTTGCTGGAATAGAACCCAGGAGATGGTTCCCAGACATATTCAAGAACTGCAAGCTACTAAGAACCCCAATGTCGGATGGAAGCACATCAGAAAATTCATTGGAAGACAAATCCAAGACCTGAAGACCCCCATTAGAGGCTTCCATTGATGTCAATGAACTATATTCCGCACTTCCACTTAATCGGTTGCCAGAAAGAGAAACACTTTGTATACCAAGCTTAAAAATCCATGAAGGAAGTTTACCTGCCAACAGATTATGGCTAACATCTATAGCTAAAAGTTTGATGCAATTAGTCAATGACTCTGGCAAGCTTCCAGTAAATTCATTCCTAGATAAATTTAACTTTTCGAGTAGCTCCAGATTTCCAAATGAGCTTGGAATTCCCCCAGAAAAATTATTGCCAGAGATATCTAATATCTCAAGGCTCCTCAAATCACCAAGCCAATTTGGAATTTGACCAGCAAAATAATTCCCCTGTAAACTCAGAGAACTGCATGAACTAAGTCTCTGAATTGACTCCGGAATGCTCCCAGAAAAGAAATTTTCACTAAAATCAAGCAACTTCAAAAGTAAACAACTTCCAATATCCCAGGGAAGCTTCCCCGAAAACCAGTTTTTTCGGAAGTTAATTACTCTCAAATCATACAAATTTTCCATACCTTCAGGAACTTCTCCCTCCAGCAAGTTATCTGACAAGTCAAGTGCTTGAAGGCCCCTCAAATACCAAATCCCAGATGGCAATTTCCCAGAGAGCTGATTAGAGGAAAAGTTCACCGCCACCAATGTCTGGCATAAGCTCAAAGAGTGAGGAATCTGCCCTGTGAGATTGTTTCTAGCAAATGAAACCACTCTTAGCGACCCACATTGCATAAAAAACTCATCCGGGATCGGCCCAGAGAGGCTGTTCTGGCTCAAATCAATGACTTGTAAGCTTCCAAGGTGAGGGAGATCAGGGTTTATGGTCCCAGTGAAGTTGTTATTGGCAAGTGAGAGTATTTGAAGGAATTGCAACCTCAAAAGGCCTCGGCCTACATGCCCTGATAGAGAAAAGCCGTCAAGAACAAGCTCAGAGACTCGGTTGGTTCTTGGGTCGCATTTAACACCAACCCAGCTGCAAGGATTGTTGTCATCTTCACTCCATGAAGTGAGCTTGGCTTTTGGGTCTCGAAGCCCGGCCTTGAACACGATCAGGCCCAGAACGTCGTCGTTGAAAACAGGTTCTAAAGCACGTACGAGGAGAGGAGCTAGAAGAATGAAAAAGAAGAGCTTGAATGCCATCTCCAAGTCCAATATCTCTGACAGCACAAAGTGACTGACCTGCTACGCCCCCATGAAAGTTTCAAAGTCCGGAAGCTTCCAGTTCTGAAGAGAAACAGTGAGAAGTAAGGTGAAGAAGGTGAAGGCAGAAGAGTGAAGCCACAAAAGGACGCGAAAAAACAGAGGTCAGAGATTAAAAAAGCTAATGAATTTCTCAGAGGCTTGAAACTCGAAAGCAAACAAAAACAGAGAGAGAGGATTTTGGTGGTCTCTCTGAACAGACAAATGCACTAAGCCATGTGTAATAATGGACAAAGCAAAAGAACAAAGGTAAAGTAACCCACCAACAACAATTACAACACCCCTCCACTTTTTCCTGCTTTTCCCTTTTCTTTTTTATTTTTTCTTTCGAATTCGTTTAATAAAAAGAAAACGAAATGACAAGTTAAACCAAGTTGATCAAGAATAAATGAATAACCACTGTAAGAGGCCCAATTGAACACAAGCTTGGAACTTGGAATTGGAAGATAGTGATTAAAGGTTGAGTCTTTGAGCTGTAAGAATGAAGAAGGAATCTGGGTTTTCTGAGATGAAGTGAACTGATGCGAAAGCTCGCCGTGAAAGGGGCGGGAGTGAGAGAGCAATGAAATTCGAACCCTAGTGAGGGGAGGAAGCCATTAAAGAAAGGTGGTGGGGGGTCAGCTCTTGTCAGAGAGTGTAGGTTGGTCTACAAGACTATAAATAACACAGAGAGGAGTGAGAGAGAGAGAGAGAGAGAATGATAATGGTGGGGGTGTGGGAGTGGCTGGGCTCTCTGGCAAGAGAGTAAAAGCGAGGCATTAAAAGCTTCTAACGGCGAAGAAAGAGAGAGTGTGTGTGTAAGATATGCAGAGCCAGCTCCGTTTATTTTATTGCCTGTATTGGCTTCGTACGTGGCACGTGAGCATTTGGTCAAACTAGAATCCGATGTGTTATCCACTTGGCTTTTGACCTGTATTTTACAGAAAAATTTGGTTACAACATATCTATCCAAGCCAATAATGCCATGACAAGTGAAAAAATTATTACGCATGTCATAACTATTGGTCAAGGATAGTAAAACAGTGTTATTCATGTTTCACGAAAGTATTTCTCTTTTTTGTTATCCTTGTTTTAGTAAATGCCATGGATAATCTCATATTTAAGTATGTGACAAAATTATAACCATACTCACAATGACGAAGTTCGAATTTTATGTGCAATGGGCCCTTTTTATATATATATTATATATATAAATAGTGAAATGTTTACAATTTATTTTTTATAAGTAATCTACACATTAATTGAAAGACCCATTAAACTCAATAGATAATAAATCTTCACAAACCCTAACAAACCATAAGCAAAGAGAAAACATTTAAACCCCAAAATAAAAATAAAAAATAGTTAATTAAGTGAGTCAACCCAATTGAAACTTGATAACATATTATATGGAAAATACGAGAATAAATAGTCACAAATCTGGCAAGAGAAATGGATGAAATAACTCTTAAATTTGGAGGACTTGTGCAAAAAATAATAATATGTACATTAAATATTTAGAAAATTGATCTAAAACATGAAGGAAAAAAAAAAGTAAACTTGAAGAGAAAACCTATAAATATTAAACGTATCATAAAGATATTAATATATATAATATTTTTAAATATAAAAATGAGAGGGTCTGGGACCACATTGGTCCCTTAGTGGCTCCGCCCTGCCTACTCGTGTGGGATCCTTGAGGTCTCTAACCAAGTAAGTCAAATCATTAGAATATACAAATATAGATAAGTGCATTAACACAAACAAGAATGTACGAGATAAGAAGCGTAATTTAGAATCAACTAGTAACATAATTTATGTCAAAGCTATAATACAACTTGACAAAGTTTGCTTAATTCGTACTACATAAAATTTGAGTGCATGATTTCCCATCTCTGCACTCTTCTTTCTAGTGTTGATCCATTTGCTTTTTCTTGTCCTCCATCACCAAGTGTACTCAAAATTCCTTCTACATGTATTAACGGTTTTGAAAAAAACCATTATAGGTTGGTCGACCAACTAACACCAAGCTTTGTCTCTGTTCAAACTTCAAACACTGAAAAAACAAACTCCACCTACTTATTTTGGCTGTTACCCCCTTCGGATTTCACTTGGTTTGACTTTTGGAAACTCAAATCTAGTGTTTGACCAATTAAACTGACGCTCAAGTCTCGAGTATCCATGGTGATGGTGTAAGAAATCCTCTACTTGTTTTTCCAGTTTCCACTCACCCATCTGTCCCTCTCTCTAGGATCGTTGTTTTTACACCTGACTAAAATAAAGTCTATCTTAAATGCGCTTCTTGGGAGAGATGTCACAGGTGGTAGATGAGTGCCGTAAATGGCGCTTTCTATAACAATCAAACCCTTTGTCAAAGTCCTCCACTTTTAAAATAGAATCCATGGTTAGCTTGGTTTCTTTCTAGATAGAAAACATAAAGAATTTAGAATTCCTTGCACCACTGAGGCCCAAATGGGTTTTGTCTATTGGGCTATCTCCAAATATTGTGATGGCCCAAGAGAAGATTGGCAAGCAGGTGCTTAAGAGGCATGCTCAAGGTGAGGCATGTGTATAGTTTCTCAGATGGTTTAGGCTTTTTATGCTTTGGCACGCTTGTAAGAGAGAGAAGCTGCTAATTAGAGGTGCCTTGCTTGGCTTTTGATTCAAGTGTTGCAAAGATGTTTTGTCCTCTAATTTGCATCTATTCCTTTCTTTGTCTACGTATGTACCCCATGTTCATGTTGTGAATGCCCCAAAAATTCAAGCATACACTTCATCACATCGTCCCCTTTGCTTGATGGTGTAGTAATGTTCATCTATGCAATACTTGCATACCGTTTTTGTTTGATGTGTAGACCTAGATTTACAAAACGAAGAAAGTTTACTGCAATTATTTTACGTCCTTTAGGTTTCATCATTTGATAAGATGATTTTGGGCAAGTTTATGTGTTAGGGTAGATTTTGATTTGACTCAATAAGAAATTACATAAGATCTTGAATGAAAACATCTCAAATGATATCGAAAGGATTATTGTACCACACATATATTTTAATTAAGGATAAAGCAAAACGAGCTAATCTATGAATCACAAAATTGGTTTCACTATATACAAATAAAATGAAACAATAATCAGTTGCGAATAACATTATTATAATTATGAATAAGGTTTATTGAACATTATTATGTACCAAAAATAATGAACCTACATGTAGAATAATGTACCAAAATCTGAACTAAGATTTATTGAAATTTCATATTAGTTAAGGATGATTATGTTGTATGTGGTACGACCTTAAAATTAATGTCGTAAGAAATAACAAGCATCACGTCACTTTAACAGGATTCAGTGGGCTCGCGCGGGACGACTCAACCACCTGATTGCGTGTCACCAAGTTATTAACCAAGATTCTTTTTCTCCTAATTTTCTTGGGAAACAAACACGCTTCAATTGGCGCGTACCTCGACTCACAGCGCATTTTAGCAAGGGCCATAAAGCCCTTAAAACTTCTCCTAATTTAACTGCGGTTCTTCAATTTTCTGCTGATTTTCCAACTCTCAGTGCAATATTCTAAGTATATAAACATAATCTCCAACTCCAACAACCTCTCACTCACCTACTTCCTCGTCAGCTTCGCCTCAATTTCAAACCCTTCTCTAAATCTCTCTCCAGGCTCACAATGAGCGTGACGTTGCAGTCGTTCTCGCTCTTAAACCCTAACCCTAGCTGTGGCTTGAAGAAGCCGGCTCCGCTGGCCTTGTGTTCATCACCTTCGTCTTCTCTGCGGTTCGATCAATTGACTGGAGCTTGCGGTTATGGAGCCCCTATTGTCCTCCCACAAGGGCTTAGCGGTGCTTATCTTTCACTGCACCGACGGAGCTTGTGGACTCGACCAATTGTCGCTGCCGCTGCTTCACAGGAGGAATCGGTGAGTTGAATTTGTGAGTTTTCTTTTGCTTTATGATATGACTATGAGTGTTTGGGTGTTTTCATTTGTTTGGGTCGTGAAAATGGGGGATTGGGGTTAATGTATGCCATGTGTTTGATTGCGTAATGCTATTACGTAAGTGAATTATGTCAAGTTTTGATTTTTGGCACTTGGAAACAAGAAAGAATATTTTCTGAAATTTGAGTTTGAGAAATTATGTATCATTTACCCTGTTTTTTAAACTCTATGTTTGATCAGTCTCGGGAAGATTTAACGGCCTGCTAACCAATTAGATTTGATAGGAAGAGAGTTATATGCATGGTCTGGGATTGATTTATCGTTCATTCGGGGTGCAACTTGTTCGCTTATCATGACATTGATTTGAATTTTCTTTCCTAGAAGCATCCAGAGATTGAGGTGGAGAAAGAAAAGGATACTGCCAAATTGAAATCTGAAGAATCAGAAGAAGCTTGGAAACAGACTCTGGCCGCTTTCAAAGAACAAGCCTTAAAGATGCAAGGCATCTCACAGGAAGCATATGAGTTATACTCTAAGAAGGCATTAGTTATTTTGAAAGAAACTTCAGAGCAGTTAAAAATACAGGCTGATAAGGCGAGGATTGATTTGAGTGAGATAGCAAAAGAAATCAGTGAAGAAGGTAAAGAATATATCTCCACAGCTGCAAAGAATTCCCCCGAGCCAGTGAAGGAAATTGTTGAAACATTTAACTCATCAGCTGATGATATGAATGATGTTTCAAAAGTCCGCGACTTTCATGTTGGGATACCTTATGGTATGTGTAGCTTATTTAAAAACCGTGATGCCTAGTGTCTTTTCTTTTCTTTTTTCTAAAGCTTTTAGTACACATATGCAAGGTACTTTTGGTCATATCATATGCCTATGCTTTGCAGGTCTTCTTCTTTCTCTTGGTGGCTTCCTTTCCTTTATGGTAACGGGAAGCATTTCTGCAATTAGGTTTGGGGTTATCATTGGTGGCGCTCTTCTGTTTTTAAGCGTTTCAAGTTTAAGATCATATAAGCAAGGAGAATCATCTCCTTTAACCTTGAAAGGGCAGGCAGGTTAGCACTGGTTTATTTTATAACATACATATCGGAGCTTATCCAATTTTTTTAATTTATATGATTCGGTTGATTATTTTTCTATAACTTAAATGCTTATAATGTACTGCTGGACCTGCAGCTATAGCAAGTATAATTTTTCTGAGGGAGGTACGCTTGCTAGCTCAGGTTAGAAATTCCTTCTTTTCTAATTTTCAATATGAAGTTTCTTTACTGGTCGAAATTGATCTGTCTTCCAAACTTCTGATATTTCTTGTTTCTGTTTCTCCTATTTGCAGAGGTCGTCATTTCCGAATTTGACAACAACCCTTGTCAGGTTATTATGATTCACATGTCCTCTCATTTTTGCAATGCTATTTTCTTTCTAGCTTTCTTTCATCAGAGGGAAATTACCCTGGTCTTTCAAGGATATTGAAACAATTATATAATCATTACATAGAATTGTTTTTTCTCTCAGAATCCATGTTCTGTAAAGGTGAAAAATAACCTGTGATTTTGGGAAAGACATAATGGCATATAGTTATAGAAGAACAGCTTGAGAGAGGGAAAAAAATGGAAAAGACTTGCATGGCTGATCTGAGTGGATATTGATGTGTCATTTGGTGATCCTTTGACCTTGCATGGTTCTTTGTTGTTTTTGATTAGATGGCCCCTAGATACTATAGATTGCCGACTACCTCCTAACATCTTCATCTGGCATAAAAATGCTAAACTAGATAATGTTTATTTATGTTTATTTGAGATGAAGATAAAATCTTCTTAGGCATGTATAAACAAGCTAAATATTTTTATGCTTCCTTGAGATGAAATTGAGGACAAAATTGCTTTGTCTGACCTCTTTGAATTCCCTTGTACATAATACTGAGGTTTCCAAAATCTCTCCTTCAGAGCTTAAAAGAGATTGCTATCTGATAAATTGATTTTTCCTGTGCAGTGGAGCAGTTGTAGCTTTCTACGTCTATAAGATTGTACAGAATCGCAAACATCAAAAGGGCTCCAACTTTGAGAAGGAGACGGAAATTTAGAGAGTGTGCAAGGTTAGTTTGCAGATTGTTTCTTATGTAAAAGTACCAAGCGGGTGATGAATTGCAGTATCATTCAAAGTGGTGGGATAAATAACAACCTCGTGTTTGAAGTACTGATGTGTACATGGTTTCGTGTTTGCAGCAAAGCAAAAGTAACCTTCTCCGTGCAAAACAGGCTGAGGATATTCTGCTGAACGGCAGTAGCTTGTGTGCTTGATGCTGTTGGGAATGAGGCAAGAGAACTTGGGCACATGTCTTTTTCATTTTTCACTTTGTAATATGGTGTTCTTGCTTTCCTTTTGGTGTTAGATATGATGCTGCAACAAGTCGATTTGTCTTTTCACTATTTTTCCCGTGCACCTACCTACCTCTGTTCAAAGTTCAGACTTGTATTCCCATTTCCTTCCCCAAAAAGAAATAAAAATAGTTGTATTGTCAAACCTCGATGTCTTTTTTCTAGTAAATTCAAAGAAAAACAATAAATGCCATATTCCCATTCCTAAAGAAGCGTTAATTACGAAGTAAAAATATTTCCAAAAGAAAACGCCAAATTTAATGCTTTTAATTTGTTCTTCTTCCTTTCTCTGAGCAAGCGTCTTCCTTCCCCCAAATTTAATGCTTTGATATTCTTTCCTATTTATTGATGTTATACGCTATGACACAAATTTTTATATATGTTAGCTAAAAATTAGGAAGATCGGTATATATAATCTCTCCAACCCTAAAACAAAACAAAACCCGACCTCTTGTTTCATCCCCCTTCCTAACTGTGGCCAAAACTTAAAAACTCGTGTCGTCCATTGAAAATTGGAGAAAAAACTTACATCGGAGACTGGGAATCAGAACAATGGACGAAGTTCCTGAAGAAATCCGCCCCAAGAGAACAAAAAGATGGATGGAAGCAACGCCAGGGGACAATTACATTCCTGAAGAAGTCATTCACGACATCCTGCTGCGCTTGCCCAGCAAATCTCTACTCAAATGCACCACAGTGTGCAAGTCATGGAGGTCTCTGATCCGAAGCTCTGCCTTCATTCACACCCACCTCAGCCACGCAATCATCAAATCCAATAACCAAAACGATGACGCTCAGCTCCTCCTGCTACAGTCTTCCAATGCAACTCTGTCATTGCATTGGGATCGCAGCCCTTCATTAGTGAGTATTCTAAGCTCGTAAATCCATTCGTAGCTTACAATGAACTCCAAGGACGTCCAAAAGACAATTTAGATTTAAGGGTCCGCACGGTCAAGGTGGTCGAAACTTGTAACGGGCTAGTATGCCTCCTTCACCGCCTTACCACGTTAATTTGGAACACGCGTATTAGAAAGTTTGTGATTTTGCCTCAGGGCACTGTTTCTGCGTCTCAGTATGATCCTAGAAGTTATTCATTTGGCTATGATTCGCGTACCGACGACTGTAAGGTTTTGAGATTTGTAAGAGAAAGGCGTGTTTCTTGTGCAGTTGAGCTTTGTTCCTTAGCAAGGGGCTCCTGGAGGAGTGTTGTTACTCCAAACTTCGTCGATGAAATGCTTCCCAGTACAATGTTTGGCCCTGTGATTGAACCGGCTTTTGTTAATGGTGCCATGCATTGGATTCAGGATCGTGTGGATGAGAATGTGATTTTGTCTTTTGATTTGTCCACTGAATCATTTGGCAAGATCCTGTTGCCCAATGCAGATTCGAGAATCAAATTTAGGATGTTTGTAGATTTTTACTGTGTTTCAAGATGCGGAGACTCCCTTGCCTTCTTTGAGAATAATAGAATTCGGAGTACTGCCTTGGTTTCTTTAATGGAAATGCGCAGCAGTTCAATGATAGTGGTTACTTTCACTTGTGGGTGATGAAAGAGTATGGTGTTGCAGAATCATGGGTTAAGTTATTCACTATATCCCCGCAAGAATTTGTGGCAAGGACACCGCCTGGTTTTACAGGAACTAAGATGAAACTGTTGGTTTAGAAAGGGTGGTGAAGTGGTGCTGAAATGGACATCATCGGGTGGTCGTAAAGCTGATGATGTTTTTTTTTTGCTGGATGGATCCGAACACCAAGGAATGCAATGATTTTCGAATGGATGGCCGCAGCAGCAGCAGAAACTACCACTTCGTGGATTCTCGAATGGATGGCTGCAGCAGAAGCGACTACCACTTCATGGATTATTTAAATCGTATAGCCGCGCGGCTATACTCTGTTTCCCCCATTAATGTTTTAAAAGAACGGCTATACTATGGTTTTCCGAATTTTTTAAAAGAAATCGTATAGCCGTTCGGCTATACTCTGCTTTCCCTATTTTTTTAAAAAAGTCAACATTCAATATTCGTATTGAACATGTAAGTACGAATTTTTTTAATTTAATACGCATATTTTTACAGTAGTTTCAATAATACACGCAAAATTAACGTATTATGCATATATATTATTGAATACAAATATTAATTAGGGGCCTAACTTTTAAGTTGTAATTTGCCAAATTTTGTACATATTTTATTTGTATAGCCATGCGGCTATACCAAATAATTAACTATATAAGCAATCCAACTAGGAGGGTCCGGCTAAACTCTGTTTTTCCAACTTTTTTAAAAGAAATAGTATAGCCGATCGGTTATACTCTGTTTTTCCATAATTTTTTTAAAAAAGAAATAGTATAGCCGTGCGGCGATATTCTGGGTTTTTTTAATTAAATCGTATAGCCACGCGGCTATACTTGAAAGAAATAGTATAGCCGCCTGGCTAAACGTTTTAAATTTTAAAAAAGAAATAGTATAGCCGTCCGGCCATACTCGGTTTTTCCAATTTTTTAAAAGAAATAGCATAGCCGCACGGCTAGACTGCTGGCACTGATAGAAGAAGCTGTGATGAAGCGAATCTCTCCATCTGGAACCCTCTCATTGGCAGCTTGACGGCTTGACTGCATTACACCTTACCGCCGGACGATGACAGCTTCTTGTTCTAGCCCAGCGGCTTCGGTTTTTTTTCCAATTTTTTAAAATACTAAGTGATAGTCTAACCCACGTTTGTAGGTTTTGATTTTTAAAATAGTTTCGAACCAGTTCCGTTTTATCACTGATTTATAAAAAGAAGAAAGAAAAAATTGCACGAGCCCTAATATTAGGCTTGTTTCTTTAACCGGCTTTTGTTAACGGTTCCATGCATTGGATTCAGCGGCGTGAGGAAGTCAAAGATGAGGATGTGATTCTGTCATTTGATTTTCCGCTGCAATATTTGGCAAGATCATGTTAACGGTGCCATGCGACTATATTTTTTTTTTTTTTTTTTTAAAAAATGCCCGAGTATAGCCGATCGGCTATACCATTGTATAGCATTACTGATTTCGGTTCATCATCATATCACATTAGTCCCACCAGTTTGAACTCAAAGTTTATTCTCAAGTCTCCATTAAGGTTGCTTGCACCAAATTTCAGTTTGTATATTTGTTTATCCAAAAGGATCCCAAAATCTGCTTCAAATATTTGTTTCGTAGACAAGTTCATATAATTCTAAATGTATATACTTGTATAAAATACCTATGTAATTTGAATATGAACTGTATGCCATACGACTAATTGCATTGAAAAGCCAATCAAAGGATTTAGTGAAAATAACCAGATTCAAAATTAAATCTTGCTAAACCTCAAACAGTATTTCTTTGGTCTATAGGATTAACTTCTCGTAACCGGCATTAGTAAAGCAGGGAAATTTCTACTCTTATCAAACTCATGAGATCAGAAGTCCCATAAACTGACTACCAACACCTCAACTACGGGGCTTGTATCTCATAGTGATGATTGTAAGGTAGTCTCAAAATCTTTAAAATCTTAAACCAAGTCTTGTATTATGCTTAGGTGATCTGAAATGTAATGCAGTACCCGTTTCCTTTCGGAAAAGCAAAGAAACGTTATGTTGCACATTATATTCTGTTTCTTCTATTATTTATTAAAGAGTTATTTAACACCCCCTAAGGGGTAAAATGATATACTCACTATTTGCAAGTGACTATTCCTAGTGGGTATAGTCGAGATGTTGTTAGCTATGCTACTAAGTTTTTTGTATGCTTGACTTAAGGCTGGCTGGTTTAGGCCACTCGAATATGTGATATACGCTTGTCTCTGGTTTATTTAGTATACGCAAGTTTGCATATACAGGATGCTAAATTGATGCGTTATGGGTGTAGTATCTGTTCTTGTATTTCAGCTGGGGAAAAATAAATATGTTAATTTTGCAAGAAAAAATTAATGGATTCAGAGAAATATTGGTTGTCGAATTGTTTAGTTTGTTTTAGCAATCCCAATAATTGTGGTGTATGCTTGAGTTAAGGTTTGGCTAACAATACTTAAATATTAGATGCCCTATACTTTGGCTGCCCTCACAGTTTACCACCTACCCCATCTGTAACTTAAGCGGACTATTTAAAATGATGCTGTGCTTTCAGCTTCTTTGGTGCTCAAGGAATGTTCATTGAAGACTAACTATGTTGTCCTCTATTCTCTGTATAACAAGCAGGTAAAAGTTTGTGCACACGGCAGGAAAGGAAACTAGCTAGTGTTCTTGACATTGATATGAAAGCGAACATTTGTTGCTTTTAAGTATAATATTTTATCTACAGCAACTGCATTGCAGTATATATTACATGAATCGTATCTGTACGTCCCCTGTTGATTATCTTGCATGAGACTAAATCCATTTAGAGTAAAATGCACCTAATTCTGGTACCCCTATGAACTTCAATCCATTTCATTGGCCACTTCTCCAGTATGAATTTGACCCATTCCAAAGAAAAACTTGTGGACAGTAACTCCATTACAAATGTTCCGTTTTGGTGTTCAATCCTATCATCATTTCAGGTAAGAAAGTATCACAGGGATAACCAAAGCTTTCCCAAAAGATTCCTCCAGATATATGATCTCTCAAAATGAAGTTTCCGGAGTCAAAAAGCACTAGTCGGGCTGCACGCATGGGTCTAACGCCTAGAGGAGTAATTGAGGGCCCATCTCTTCTTTTGTTTTTTTTTCTTCAACATATAAATGCAATTTTCCTTCTCAAACCCTAACTCTAACAAGAGCCGTCTTCCAGCCCCTCTCTCTCGCTCAGACTTCTTCTTCAATCCTCATCCCTTTGTCTCTCGCTCATAGCACCATCGTGATCTCTTCCCTGACCTTGGAGATTCCAAAATGGCGTTTTTTTCTTTCTAAGCGCAGCGCCCGCCTAGCCCGCCCACCTAGACCGCCTAGGGCCCGCCTAGACCGCCTAGAGCCCGCCTAGACCGCCTAGCGAGCCTAGCCCCAGCCTAGCCCTCCTGGACCCCGCCTAGAACATAGAGATCTTGCCCACCATCTGCATATACCCTCATGTCGCCCGCCTAGACCGCCTAGCCCCAGCCTAGCCCGCCTAGCCCGCCCGGACCCCGCCTAGAACATAGAGATCTTGCCCACCATCTGCATATACCCTCATGTCGATTAGCTCCCCAAACTACGTGCCGCAACCTCTCCCTCCGTTTGAAATCTCCATGTTACAATAAGCAGTGCAAGAACAGTTCTCCAAACACTTCTCTTTACATGCCTCAAGGCTCATGTCCCCATCCACAAATGCACCACCCCACTCTCAAGCAATTTCACTCCTCAACCTCAAGAACTTGTCTTTCGTGCATTTCAGTTCTCGTTTTCTCACACACCCATCAAACCCATTTCCCAAATTCCAAGCCTCCAAATTCTTAGGCTAAAACCCACTCACACATTTACACACAGGTGAAGCATTTGTGTCACAAATACCAAATGGGACCGCACTCTCCATAGCTGTCACATTGGTCCTTTTGGGGATACTGAAATATATTTCACATCTTTGTGCTCTCAACCCATGTAATCTGTTGAACGTCCCCATTTGGACTCACTGTCAAGCCTGAATATTAGACCTCATCTTGTTTAGTAACGAAGTTGAAATCGACACCATGCTTCGAAGCACACATTTCCGGGGCACCACTAAATATCATCCCATTCCAGGGGAGTTTTTAACATAAATTGTTGTCCCAAAGGAAAATCTCCGGGAAGCCATGGTGATCTAGTTTGATAGAAAAGTCCCCTGTTGATGGGTCCTCTGAGCTTTTCCACGAGGTCAAGTACCTGTTTAAACCTGTGCTCAACTTCCATCCAAGCTTCATATCCGGAAGCAGAATGTGTGTGGGATAATCAAAGCTCCGGTTCCTTCTTTGATCACAAGATTGCCTATATCCAAAAGCAGGACATTTGGTCTCAAAACTTGGGTGTGATTGGAGGACCAAGTGACATTTCCAGATGGATCAAGAAGGACAATGTTTCCATGTTCACCAGTCATCAAAAGAGCTCCTGATGAATTTGAAAGTGGGGTGTCTCTGTTGGCCACCCAAACAACTGTTCTGTTTTGGACATTTTTGTACCATATATATGCCTAAGTACCAGCCCGAAATATTGCCTGGCTTGAAGAAACCCAACTCAAAGACTTCACAGGGGGAGACAATGGTCATGTTTCCTTCGACAATTAATTAATATATTATATATGTATGCCTTGCCTTCTTCACTTATTTTTGCTGTGACCAACTAATTAACAGATGTACAAGTGAAGTGAATACATCATGTCTGTACTCTGTACATGCATTTGAGTGCGAGAGATTGGCTCCTCAAATTATACAATAATAATAAATTAATTAATTAATAATGTCAGTTTCCTCATTAATATCGGCTTGCCATAATGCCATTGCCAAGCGTAATGTATTTCCATTTCCTAATTAAATTGGGGAGGTTTTGCTGAACCTGTAATTGGAGGGCATGATTATTCTTGCAAATTAAGGTGCTTTGTCAAGAAGATCCTAGTCAAA